GTGTCTGATTACCTCATGAATGATGCTGCGTCAAAACAATTCTTTCCATCTTTTGCATCAATATTTATAGTAAAGTTCGTTAATTTTAGCTCAAATTGGTTCGTTCTTTAAGACTTGCACATTATACCAATTGGGTTAGAGTGTTTATTTTTTGAAAAAGTATTCAAGACTTGAAAAGTTTACAATAACAATATTTTTCAATCAGTTGGACTTTATTGTTTTAGCCAGGTAGCATGATACACTATTATATGGTATTTATTTAAATTTAATAATATTAAAAACTTCATAATGCTTAAAAATGTTATTAAAGGGCCCATTGGATCAGACTAACTATAGGGGGCTTCATCATTAAGTACCATATAAAAATTTCAGGACATTTGATCACCACGGACATAAAGGACTCTCCTTGTAAGTTATTATTCCATAAAAAATGCTGCTATATTTTTTACCTCAAATATGGATCTCAATCATAAGATATTATTATTCTCTTTTAACAAACACTACCCACATACCCAACTTTCATTACACCTATTTCATACCTACTATTAAATGTAATTGTTTGCGAGTCGCTGCTTAATCTCGTAATTAAATGCAATAGATCAAAAATCTGTTTTAAATGTTAATAGTAATAGTTTACGTTCATTTAGGTCGTCAATTTCACCCGGCAGTGGCGTCAAATTGTGTGTCTTACCAGTTTGTTCATCATACTTACTTGGTCCTAAAAACAGACCAGAATTTTTTTCGTGTAAAATTTTAATTAAACATTTACTTTGTGTATGCTAATTAATTGCAAAATGAAGGTTCCACCGAGATTTGAACTCGGATCGCTGGATTCAGAGTCCAGAGTGCTAACCATTACACCATGGAACCTGCGTTGGTGTAGTGATATTTAAAAACGAATAGATACAGTTTTGCATTTTTTGGTCGTGTAGTAGAAAAATTCTTATTAAAAATTTTAAACATTCTATTCTTCGCATCAAATTTCACAAGTAATAACGAGGTGATATCATTAAAAAATAATTGTTACACTTTTTAATTACACATATCGAAAGAGTAAATAATATTATCAGTAGCTTTTCAATCTTGAAATTATTCAGAATTTTGAAACAATTTTTAGAGCTTTTATTTATTATGCAAATCTTTATTGATAAGAATACTAAAACTATTAAATTATAAAAAAGATGCAAATTCAACTCGTTTTTTGAAGTGTCCTTAAGTTAAGAAAAAACAGATATTTTAATAGATACGTTCTTTTGACTGAAAACGAGTCAATGCTTTAATTCACCACATAAAATGATAATCTTTCATAAAATTATAATTTTAACAAAGCATGGGACTTATGTCAGAGAAATATTCTCCTTAATTTGTTGTAAGAACTTCTCAGAGCGAACATAGAGGTTGCTAAAGTCAGCACCCAAAGAAAAATCGTTTGCGCGTCGAAAGTTGTAAAGAATGACAAATTTTTACGTTTACGAGTCTAAAAAATTTGGAAAAAAGGGTGCTGCATGGGTGCTTTCATAAAATTCACTGAAATAATAAACCGAATGAAATTTGTGTCGTGTACTAATTGATTGTTCGTTTGAAGTACAAACGAATGGTGTGAACCATTTTTCCTAAAGTTCATTAAATACATATATTATTTATTTAAAAGACTGAATTTGCATTAATTAGCCCCTACAAAAAAATCCGTTTTCAGTTATGAGATTAACATAAATCGTTTGCGCGTCGGAAAAGATAAAGAGTGACTAATCTTCTCGTTTATGCATCTCAAAAGTTGGGAAATAAATGAAAAATTTTGAAATGGGTGCTGGAATTCGGCACCCGAAATAAAATCCACTGAAATTCAACAATAATGTAACAAATTTGATTTTTTTCGTGCACAAAATGGTTGTTCGTTTGAAGCGCAAATGAATGGTGTAGACACTTTTCTCCCAAATTTTATTGAATGCAAAAATATTTTTATTGAGAAATGAGTGAATCGGGTTATAGATTTAGCTAGCATATTTATGTATTTTACGATGCACGAGATGGATTACATTTAATTATTTAAAAAATGCACCGGCTTGGTTATTTGAATTACTACCTGATTTAATTATAATTAAGTATTTTCGAAATGCAACAGCTCATTTACTAGGGTTACTAATTTAAATAGATAAATTTATGTATTTAATGAACTTTGGGAAAGATGGTGTACACCATTCGTTTGCGTTTTAAACGAACAATCGATTAGTACATGACACAAATTTAATTCGGTTTATTATTGACGGATTTCAGTGAATTTTATTTTGGGTGCTGAAATTTCAGCAAAATTTTTCTTGAAATTCTGTTACACTTCAGGTGGTTGAATGAATAATTGAATGTGTTACAATCGGGCTGAAACGTTGGGTGGTTGTTTATTAAGTCATTCCCGATTAACCCTTAAAATTTCAGCCCGGGTCATTATGTTAATTTTTCCGGATTTTCAATCCGAAAATTGATATTTTAACACGGCTACTATGGGAGACTGTCGAAATTTGAGCATGAAATGAATTTGCTCAATTATGCTACAAGGGAAATAAAAAACTATCCATTAGAAACACAAAGTCATCATCTTTCGATTAGTGCATTAAAAAATATAGCTCATCATGCTTCATAAAGAAATATTTAACGATTAAAGTATAAAATCGTGATATTTTGGCTTATATTCGCCTTCTAACTTGCTTCTAACTTGCGCATAAGCCAGCTGAGCATACTGAGACTACTCAAAAGTATACTATTGTTATGATGATCATCAAACTACCTTACGTGGAAAAGAATTTTATTACAAAAAACATTTGAGACCTTAATTATCAATAAAATATATGGATGCTGAACTAGATAATTACCGTTATAATTCTCTTGTCAAAGTATCCCAAGTAACCCAAGTAACCATATTTTACACTTTAGAGCAAAAAATGTAAAAAACTAAGGTTCCACCGAGATTTGAACTCGGATCGCTGGATTCAAAGTCCAGAGTGCTAACCATTACACCATGGAACCTTCGATAATGATTGACCTATATTTGAGTTTTCTTATTAATTTTTTTATTCATGAGTTAAAAAAATGAAACACTTTCAAAATTACCATAATTGTCCTTGTTTGTACGAGAATATAAAAGGATGTAAGTCAGTCACACATCAAGCAATTCTATATTGTATCCTATGCTTATTAATATAAGCCCGTTACGAGTATCTCATTCTCTCTTTCTCTCTTCCCTTTCTTTAATCACTGACAATATGTCTACGTCAGCTGCTAGTGCGATACAACGACTACGAGTTTATACGCATGAGTGCACGAAACGCAGTGACAAATGTAAATAAGTCTGGTACCAGACGTCCAAACTCTTCTAGTAATCTATTAATTTTTATTTTTTAACGTAATATATATTAAAAAATAACTCAAATTGATGGGCTTTCGTACAATCCAAGTGAAGTATTCAACGAATAAAAATTCTAATTTTAAAAGATCCGAAGAGTATACAAATCTAAAAATTTTCTTATTCTATTTATAACATCAAAACATGGATCGCTACGAGAAAAAGCTCACGAAATTCATTAATGTGCGATTGGTGACTTCGGCAAAATGTTTGCTTTTTTGATCGTGTCGATGTGAATTTACAAAGTGACTATTTGTGAAGTTTCCAAAGGTTAGTGTAAAATTAATTTTAATTGAAGAATTTTCTTCGCAACCACAAACAATGGTTAGCGAAGTATTTTTGAAATCAAGTGGTTTGTGTTACATACATTTTTTTCAATGCTGAATACTTTCATAGCACTTTTATATTTGTTGAATTTATCGTTGTAATTATTTTTTTACACGGTGTAATTTACAATTTTAAAATTTTTCGATGAATCTGTGAAGGGAGAGCAAAAAAATTTATTAGAATTTTGGCTAGTAATATATCTCTAAGCCTTCTGATAAAGATTGTTCCTCAAAGTATAACGTAATATTAATATATTGTACATCGATGAAAGGAATTTCAATCGCATAATGTACCGTACGATGACATCATTAGGTAAACCCATACTGGATAAAGAATAATCGGCATTAACCCGTTAATTATTGCAACTTGTTCTCTGAAATAAATTCTATTATCTATTCTTTATGTTATCTAACCAACTTTAGATAGTAAAAAACATATTCTACACGTTTAAAAGACGAAATTTATTTATTAATTAAATTTTATGAAATATTCAATTTATCTAGATTACTCAATATAAAAAAATATGTATCACGTGTACTTTAGTACTTACATCGTAATGTCAACGTATATCTTAGAATATTGCTGAAAAATTTGTTAATAATTACAATAACATGTAATAATAATAATAATAACAATTTCGAGGAGTAATAATTAATAAAAATCGAACAAAAAGTATTTGTGATTGAATCAAGAAATATAGCATAGAAACCTGTATTTTGCATGAAAAATTTATTTCGCAAACATACATTTATTTCCGTTGATGCTTCCTTTTTCTAATGGAATAAATTTAAAGTGCAATATAAACACCACTAATAATGTAACTAAACTTCTTCTATACTGTTAATTAAAAGCAAAAAAGTAAACAATTTTTTGTGTCACATCTGTGAGTCATGACTATATTTTAATCATAAAAACATCATTGTTCAGAATGTCCTTACCTCAATAACACAGAAGAGATTTCATTTGTTTAAAATTCTGTATTTATTTAAGATTCTGTATTTATTATAAAACATTTTAATTAAAATGCTTGTATTCTGTGTAGTAATTTGAAAGAAAAGTATTTTCGAAGGAATAAAGTCTCTGATATATCGAAAAATCAGTATCTTTATCGCCTCATTTTTAAAAATACGAGGCAAGTAAGTGAAATATTATTACAGGCTATTAATGTTCAATTCGTGATGATTACTTTACCGATGAACAGACTTAGTTTACAAGTAAGTAAGTTTTAATTTTATTTTAGAATAGTTCAAGAAAGTGTTGCTAATTTTTATTTTGTAAGATGAAACGGTTCAAAAATATTTCAATAACTTTTTTGATTTTCTTAATTCACGCAAAAGGTAAAAATTTAAATATCTTTAAATTATAGTGCAACTACTCAATAATTCTTAATTATTTTAAGTTGCCTATTCAAGAAAGCAATTACGAATCAATGGTGGAGAAAAAACTCCAGATGGACGTTATCCATTTATGGTATCACTGCAGCATAAAAAAGGCCACTTTTGTGGTGGAGCAATTATAGATGAAAATTCTATTCTCACGGCAGCTCATTGTGTCACAGAAGAAAAAACTGGAAAATTTACGAAAAAACAGATTTACGCTGTTCTTGGTACATCAGATGCAGGCAACAAAGGTCGCGAGGTTCAAGTGTTGAAAATAAAAATTAAAAAAATGTACAAGCCAAAAGCTTACACGCCTCTAAATCCTCACCCGGGCTTGCCTTTCCAAAGACCAGCAGATATTGCCGTTTTAAAGGTCTTTAACAATATTTTGCAGGAAAAAGTCCCAAATATCTAAGTAATATATCAAATTAATGATTCTGTATAGCTGGAAGAGCCAATACAATTAGAACACAACGAAGTTCACCTACCCCAATTAGAAAAAATCAATCTTCCAACAGATCCTGACGCTCAATACATGGGTGAAAAATTGATTATAGCTGGCTATGGAGAAAGTGGCAACAAACGAGAAGAATTAAGATTTGCCTATGCTAAAGTCCTGACAAATGGAGAATGCGTATCAAAATACAAATTGAACGTTCGGCAGGATCATTTTTGCGCTCAAATGAGCCAAAGAAAACCACATAGACCCGAAGGAACTTGTGACGTGAGTTTATGAAATGAATCAATATGTAGCGAATCGCAGCCTCATGATCTTTTGGTGTGCTTTTACATTGACAGGGTGATAGTGGTGGTCCGTTATTCGATTCCAAGACTAAAACGGTCAAGGGTGTACTCAGTACTGGTCCCGTGGATTGTAATGAGAACAAAACGCCCTCGGTCTACACCAAAGTTTCGCAATTTTTATACTTTATACGAGCCGCTATAAATGACAAAGCTACTGATGATGCAGATTGCGTCGAATGGAAAAAGTCAACAGGCTGTACTCATTGCACTCATAAACTGGTTGACTGTACAAAAAATTGAATAACTGGATTATACGCATGTTGCTTGTTTCACTTTCGAGTGTCAGACTCGTGTATTTTTTTTAAATGCTTGCTTTAAATTCAATAAATGTAGCTTTCAATTACGGACGGCTGAATGTAAGACAAATTCTCAAAAATCGTTAAAAAATTCTCTACTTTTACTTTGTTTTTACTTTGTTTGTCTCCATCTTATAGTAATTTGTTTATCAAAATCTAACATACACTATTTCTAACGATTAATTTGAAAAAAATAGAGCTCTCTACGATAATTTTTGCGCCCTACAAGCCGGTTTGAAGCGTTGTTGCACATATCATGTCTATTGCTAGTAAAACCTTGAAAATTTGACTTTAAATTATATCCAAATCAATTGCATTTATTATCAGTTGTTATCATAATAAATCCCGAAAAGTTAGTTTAGGCAAGTAAACTAAGTAAGTTTAGGATAGTTTTTTTTTAGTATAAATTAAGTAATTTTTGGGGGGGTTTTTTATAGTCATCATGAAATGAGAGCAGTTAAACTTTAATTTAAGACGAAAATGTAGGGAATTTTTCGTTCGTTGAATATTATGAAAGTTAGAGACTAGAAATAAAAAATTGTTTTTTGCTTCCTCAAAAAGGAAGCTCTGTGATAGGCTCGAAAAAGAGCTTTGGAACCGGGTATTGTAGAATTTCTTTCTGAGTGAGATGTGAACTTTTATTTCTTACTGTTCAAATGAATCTTATTTTTATAAAATAGAAGATTTACATTTTTTTATAGACTTCAGTATATAGAAGAAGGAGGAAGCTCTTTGCCAATGAATTGGTATCGGTTTTTTTCAATCTCTTTATAATGAGTCGATGTTTTAAAATTACGAACGGTTATTTGGTGGCGTTTAAAGCCGCTATGTAAGGCCATGTTCAAACGCACAAAGATATCGCTTGGGCAAAAAGTACCGAAAGTCCAGGTCTATGTGCGTGCACACTTTCTCGCACTCGCCTGCTTTGATGTATTGGACCGCAAAACGATTTGTTTCCTTATACGTCTCGTCCGCTCGAAACTGCAGCTTTGATCGCCATCAACTAAGCATCCGAGTATAACGCATACGGACACGCGAAATTTCACCGATTTGTTAGGTGCCACGAGTTCGGAGGCGAAAATGAATTGACGCCGGCACGATGCGCACACGACGCGCTCATACATTCATAAAACGCTTGTTTTCCTCTGGTAGCGATAAAAAACGGCTGCGCTGCATCCGACGTGCGAATCGTCATTAGGATACATACACGCTCGCGCTTGGATCAGCTGGAAAGTGGCGAGCACAAAGCGACAGTTTTCTCAAAAAATTCTGTGTCGAGCTTTCGATTTGCATTCATCGAGGCTCGAGCTGGACCTCGAGCTCGCACGCGGCTCACGTACGCGCTTTGCCATTATATAAATCTAAAATAGCGGCGCCGGTTTTTGTCATTCTGGAGACACGAGTCGAGCTCGAGACGCTGAATCGATGTGTATGTATACAATACGCACAGACGCATTCGTCAATGGAGCCAGCGTATCTCGTGAGCGCGACTGCAAAGCGACTATAGGAGCGCGACAAGAGTAGGTAGCCTACTTTTTTCATTTCGCAAATATTCTTACGCAGCTTGTATAGACAGGCGTCGAGCGAGAACAATAACAGAACGTAGACGCGGCTGATCCACTCTGCTCTAGAAAGCCTCCTTATGTGATTTGCGTATACGTCATTATATCGTGGCCCGCTATGCACGGCCGGCAGCCGTCGAGCTGGCATTTTGTTGCACCGACTCGCCCGAACTATGTAGCGCGCAGCGCGGTATCTCATTATAGGCAGCTTCTGCAACTGCGAAAGCTTTTTCGCAGCCGCACGTTTTTTGAGGCAAAGTACGATTTTCTGAAATTACATCTACTCCTTGAAAGTTGGCGGTTGCTCGCGCCGTACGTGGGCCTGGAAATTGAATCGCAGTTGACCGCAAGTACACTTGCAGCGTCATCCACCTTTTGCGATATAACGCAAACGTCGAGTGCAATTTTCTCGCAGTCTTGGGCCCGCTTACTTTTTTTTTTCGAGTCGGATCTGCGCATATGCGTGCGCTATGCATCACTTGCAGCAATAACAACAGCAACCCGAGAGAGTTCAAGCACTAATATCTCGTCTACCGGTTTTCCGACTCAATATCGCGCCTTCGCTTATGCTGACTCGTGATAAAAAAGATCACGTCTGTGTGTGCATGTATAAACGCAGGCGCCACTTAGCCCGCTCAACTGCCCATACGATTATATGCGCATAAAATATACACGCAGCACGACGCAACGATCTCTTTCTGTAACTCCGTTTCGCGCAGGCTGCGTATCGCCAACGCCAGCTCCGACACACGAATAAATGTGTCGAGAGACTCTCTTTCTCTCTCTCTCTCTCTCTCTCTCTCTTGCTCCCGCTGATTTTGAATGCTACTGTGATTTTATTTTCTCTCTCTCTCCTCGCTTAAAGTGATGCAACGCAAGTTTATTGCACGCAGATTTGCAAAGTTTCATATAAGCGGGCAGATATCGGGCCGATGATTCAATTGTACATGTCGAGCCGAGGGAAATTTTGCTTTTCGAATTTTCGATAATCTTTGTTTTTTCTCGCGCCTCTGAAACATTTACCGATGCGCCTTTCGCAGCGATCAGTTTGCACTGGCTCGCGATGCCCCGTTACCTTTCCTCGCGCGCGTCCTGCTGTATAGAACGTGCTGCTCGTCGCGATAAATAATCCCCTCGAATATTAAATCTGTCAAACAATAAAATAATGATTTCCCGCTTAAATGCGCCGCGGTCAAAGCAGAGCTCCTCTTTCTCCTCGTGGCTCGCAGCTCCATCGAAAGTATCATCGAGCTGCACGCATTTAATACGTATTATGTATGCGCACACATTTTGCGCACACAACGCAACGCTCCGACGCTGTGGAGCGCATAAATCAGAGCTGCGATATCAAAACTGACCAACGTAAAGAGCTTTTCTCGCTTGCAAATCAATTTTCAAACGGGACCCCGACGACTGTATCGCCTTGTTTCCAGCCCCACGACTCGAGCGGTGTGTTATACCCTGCATACGCTACGAGCACAAAAGCACCTCAACGCACACATTATATTTATGCATTGTGCATCACGCATTATGCGCTTTATATTAAAGGGAGTAAGAAAGAAAATGGCAAAGAGACGAGAAAGTGGAGAGGCGCTTTTATCAAGCCGCTATCACATCGTGCATTGTAATTCGCTTTGTCCACCTTATCAACGCGCTGAAAGACACAATTCGAAAGTATAATTACTTCAACATAATCAAATGCGGTGATAGACGGCAGTCAGAAATTTTCGCGCTTTTATTCTCATCTTCCGTTTACTTAACTCAAGCACATCTCGTAAGAAATCAATCGTGACCTAATTTAACCGAATCATTTTTCGAGTATCTAAAATTATTTAAAGTTTTTTTTGCCCGGAATACCCGATAATGCATCTTCCGGTAAAACGGCTAATTACGCTTATCAGCCATGCTGAAGCCGACACAAAAGGCCCTCTATATTTAACTGTAAAAATTCTCCATCTTTACTCTTGATTGATGCCAAGAAAAAAAATACATGATCGTATTTTTTAAAATGATACTCTTGTCAACGAATAATAGTAGAACAGTTTACGATTCAGTGGCACTCGCTTTTTCCGGACAACATCGAAGCTTCGCAGCGTGGCATGGCTCAGATTGTTGGCTCTTATCGTCTCATTATAATTCATACTCGTACATGTGTACGACTTTTGTACGAAGCCAGAGCTCGGCCTGTACACGCGCCAGAGGAAGTCAGTTTCCTTCGAAACATCATTCCGTCATGTCGTGTGCCCTTTAGTCAAGTTCAACTTTTAATGACGACTTCTTTTCGTCCAAAGCTCGTGCAACAAAAAAGTTGGAAAAATGCGAGAGGAGTGTATTGAAACTGAAATCAAAGTTCTTTGAAATAATTGAATAATCGATCGTTTCAGTGCCCAATAACTTGAACGATGAAGAAGTTTCCGAGTTGGCTGCTCGACCTGACTCTGGTCATGCTGATGACGGCGTGTCACCAGGTGAGGGGAGAATTCTTCGTCTTATCGGGACCAGAGCATAGCCAAGGAAGTCAACTGAAAGCCCGGGACATGTATTGCCTGACCAATGACATGGGCAGCGCATTGTCTTGGAACAGCAACCTCGAATGGGACGTGTCCAGACCCGACGACGACGTCTCCCCAAAGCCTCTAAGTACAAGCTCGTCGACCTTATTTCAAAATTTTTCTCTTCTTATCTCACGTAAACATAATTCCATCTACGAGTGCAGTTCTCCACAATGCCAACAACGTTTATCCGGAACAAGACAGTCTCAACTGTCAAATGGGCCAGCGCAACGAGTGCTCGAAAACTTGGACGAGAATCGGTAATTGGAGCTACGTTGACATTTTGGACCATCCAATGGCACCTATTTTGGACAACCGTTGGGAAGATTTTCCAACGGTTCGCTTAGGAAATGAGTACATTCTCTTCGATGGTCGACCAAATCCCGGAGTACTGACGATATCCATCAGGGGCGATTCAAACGTTCGCATAAAACTGTCTGAAGCCAAATCTGATAAACGATTTTCTGTCTATGTCACCTTGGGACCCTTGCAGAATACAATCAGTATCAACAAGAGATGTGAAGGGGCTGGCCTCGACTCAACATCGAGCCCTTTTATAACAGATGAATGTGAAACTATTCTGGCTTCGAACCAAGTACTGTAATTAAACTTTATAGCTCGTATTATTGCGATTACGACTTAAATTTGCATTTTTTTTCTCGATTTTTAGAAGTCAGTTTTATCATCAATAGAGTGGATAACTCTTGTCATTAAATGGCAATTTGCAGAACGATTCGAACTTTCGGTAGAAGATTTAAACGAGATATTTATGAGCTACAGCACCGACAAAGGTTACGAACTCATCGAATCGACGAATAAAGCCCCCATGATTTACGCCTTCGCTAAAAGTGACGGTCCCATTTTCATGAAAATGCACAACTGTGAGTACTGCAAATTACTACGCGCAAATTACAATTAATTCATTTTGTTGTAAAAATAACTTTCAGACGGCTACTCCATGACTTTAACGACCAAATCAAAGCTAATCAGCGCGGACATAATGTCGCCGTCGCAGGACAGGAACATGTGCATCGAGATGTCCATCAGTCTGTGCGAAAATTGCTTGATGTTCGCCGATTTTGTAGATAGCAGTGGCACGCAAAAGGCGGCTGCTACATTTACTAACAAACTATCGAGCAGCAAAAACGGTTTGCCAGCCTGGCGAAACGTTAAAATCAACAAGACTTTGCCCAGGGACATGGATTTTCCCGTCAAATTATTAATCAACACTTTGAGCAATACCACTAAAAATAACAAACCCTTCTGGGCCATATCCAACATTCGCCGATGTTACAACAGTTCGTACAATCCAATGATTTATATCGGCATTTGTTTTTTCGATTAATTTTATCTTCTCAAGTTTTTTGTTTTAGGCGTTTACAAAGCTATCAAAATTAGGACTTACAATGCAAATAGCTCTCAACCAAACTCATCTCCGGGTTGGCAAAAAATCACTTGTCAAAAACTCAATCCGGATGGCTCTTCAACGGTAATCGATTCTGTGAACCGCGATAGTTCTACGCCAAATCTAGGTAATTGTCAACTTTGTCGCTTCAACTCGAAAGAGAATTGAAAATTAATTTTTTTTTCTCAAAGATCGAAAAGCGTTGTGTCAAGAAGGTAAGGTAGGTTCATCGTGTCAAGTAAGGTGTTCTGATTTATTCATCGACAGCGGCGATTGCAAACAGTTACACGTTTGCGACCAGATCGGATGTTCCTGTGCTCAAGGATTCAAAATGCCCCAGTGCACTGAACGTGAGTTATTGCACTAAATCATAAATTATTTATAACGATATCCTAGGCAATATCATTTTTTTTTCTAGAATGCCCTGAACTGACCTATGGCCACGAGTGTCAACGTAAATGTGGCCATTGCGCCTACAATAACTGCAATGCTGCCACTGGGGAGTGTAAATATGGTTGTAAAAATACCGACAAACAGCTATACCTGCTGCCTTACTGCAAATTTGGTACGACAAGTCATATGTGATTCTGATTCAACGCAATTCAATTTCATGTGCAACTTTTATTTTAGGAATCGGATCACCACCAGCACCGATAGTAGAATCAATCAATTCAACCTGCGTGAGAGTGTATTTGAAAATGAAGCCAGAATATAAAGCCATTGACACGGTTATTCGTTTTGAAATTCGAGTAAGTCGGATACTTGATCGAAAACAAATAGCTTCTTTTGATAAATCATAAACTTTTGATAAATTTACGTTTTCATTTATTTTTTCAGGAGAATGCAACTGCCTCGGCTATAATGAGCGATGAAATAATAATCGACAAAAATACGATTAATATCGATTTTTATGCTGAACACCTAACTCCTGGAACACGCTACAAAGCGGTAGGAATCGTTTACAGTCAAAATCACACTTTTCTCGGAGAATCGACTAATTTCACCACTCAGTGCACTGGTAATGGAAAGAACAAACAACTTACTGATACATACGGAAAACTTTTGAATAAATAATCATTATCCTTGTAGAGTCGACTGCTTTGAATTTTGTAACAATGGTAAAGATGACGAGTTTTACTTTGGACAATAAAGTCGATGTACATGTTAATGATTCCTGTCCTCAAAATTGGTACAACATAAAATTAATGGATGAAAAAAACGAGACACTGTTCGACGGTAGCTCGAACTTCCCTCGAACTTTCGAACAACTTGAGCCATTTAGTAATTATAATATGATCATTAAATCAAACAATAATACACTGGTAGACAGGATGCTGCGGACTCTCGAGGGAGGTATACTTCAACTACGATACAAGGAAGATAAATAGTGAGAATTACAATTTAATTTTTTGGAAATTTGTACTTTTTAGTACCGGATGCAGTGCAAAATTTATCAGTTAAGGCATCTGAAGATCAAGTACGCGTTGACTGGTTACCTCCAATCAATCCTAGAGGGAAAATTGTCAACTACACTGTGGAAATTAGAGTAATTATAATATTATCAAGAAAAGTTTGAAATAAAACGATTAACGCTCTGTATTTTTTAGCCTATCGAATTTTTCGGCTGTGAAGATGTGAATTCTTCAATTGCTTACGATAATTATTACGAGAAGCCTTTAAAAACTGGAATCATAATAGACGATCAGATACTCGACTCGTATAATTATACATTTGATGGATTGATGCCATATGCAAAATATCTAATTAATGTTTTTGCAGCTAACACTAGATATAAAGGCGAGATTATCAGTTACGAAATTGAGACACCAGCCTCTAGTTAGTTATTTTAGGAACTGACGACTATCTATATTTTTCTTGTAACTTCATATTTATTATTTACTATATTTATTATTTTTCTATAGAGACCGCGAAGGAAGAATTCAGCCATTTAAGATTAACGAATGAAACTTCTTCAACAACTGCCGCATATTTGAGATGGGATCCTCCGGAAGATTGCACAACAATTAGAGGGCCCACAAAACTTGCTAGAGTATCAATTCGACGAAATAATGGACTGTTGGTAAAAGACGTTGATGGATATTCATTTCCACTCGAAAAAGTTGACTTTAATGGAACTGAAACATACGAAGTGAATTTATATCCTCTTCGAGAATTGAATGGTGACATCAATGAAACGGCGTTTAGCAATTTAACTTTTACTATGCCCGCTAGAGGTACGATTCATTCAATAACTTACGAATATACTTAGTACGTCTCTGACAATTTTTTTTGTAGCACCACCACCTGTACAAAACTTAGAGGTAATAGAAATAATTGCCAACGAGTCCGTAAAATTACGATGGGATGAACCAAAACCACCTCACAACGGACAATTGAAATTTTATTCGGTTGTCTTTTGTAGTGAGAATTCAAAAAAAACTTGTAAAGAAGAAAAAATAATGGTTTATCGAAACGAAACATGTGGATTATCGGATTCGTCATCTGTCAATATTTGTGCTACGATTCCTCTACCCAATGGTGATTTTAATCAAGTACTCGTGAGTCACTGCTTTTACAGAATTTTAGCGCTAATAAAAATTGATACGTATATACATCATTTCCTTATTATATCATTTAAATAGGTCAGTGCTCATAATAACAAAATTGCCGAACCATCAGAACCCGTGATGGCACCACTAATACAAAAAAGAATTGGTATGTAAAAACATTATAATGTAAACTCATAATCTTACGTGAGTTTCTGTTATAAAAGATCATTTAACCCACAGTTCCCTCGGCACCTCAAAATCTGAGCTTAAACATAGTAAAGGATGACAATTCAACAGTTAAGGTGACTTGGAATCGTCCTCTTATAACTGGCGGTAAATTGGAAAAATATGTCCTTGAAGCTAGACTTTTGAACAGTTCTTTGAAGGTCACACCATGGAAAGAAAAAACAATAGACTATGAAGTTCAAGACGATGACTACGGACCATTGTACAGTTACGATCTTAATTTGTTTCCCTCATCGACATTTAGCATAGCTATAAAGGCGATAACAGTAGAAGAAGTACACGGTAAAAAAAGTGAACTAATCGTTGAACTTGATGGTGCAATGGATTTCGATATCGACGATTTGAAAATAAAAATGAATGGAGATTCAACGCTTTCAATAACCATACCGAAAATTAACAATGAAGTTGAAGGAAGTTCTTTGACGGTAGTTTTGCAAGGATTCAGATTTTGCGAAGATACGAATGCGTTTAACGTCAGTAAAAGAGATAATTTGATTCAGTTCCCAAACATATTAAATTCGTCTAACTATGAGAGTCGGCTTGTTGCAACTTTTGAGGTAAATTTCAAAAATCAAATATTTCTTCATTTATAAATAACAAAATTAGAAAAAATACAATTTTTTCAGAAACCTGACGAGTGGGTTGGTAGAGAATTCATTATAGGGCATAATACGCCCGAACAACAATCGAACGAATATAAAATGTGCGAAAATGAATCATACTCGGTTCACTTAATTTTAGCTGAGAATCTAAGAGGTGAAAAACGAGTAGTACGTTCGATTAATTCTGATGAGGTGCTTATGAGCCCATCTCAACATGATTTCTCATTCATGTGGCTGATCATGTTATTCGCTATCATATTGGCTCTCATTGTCTTAATTTTTCTCTGTTATCATTGGTGAGAATTAATATTGATACTTACAAGGAAAACATATGAGATTCAAAGCCCAGATCTTCTCCAAAAATACCTTTTCCGATGATCCCTGGGGCCCTATAGATCAGAATAAAAAATACTTTTTTCAGAAGTCCTTATTAATATTTCAGAGAGGGTCTTGCTTTGAATCTCATATGAACGTCTTGTAATTGAACGATTTTCAAAAAAATTTTTTTTTACTGTACACTTAAATATGGTGTACGCATAGGTTTTATAAAAAGTGTGCGCAAAAATACGAAAGAAAAAGACAAAGGAAAGTCCAGACAGAGCACTTGCAATTGTCTCCGGAAATAAAAACACAATTACAAATGAATGAAGATGATGTCGAGTCGATTGAGAAAGAGGATTTTGATAGCAAGTGCCCGTCATGGAGTTCAATAATTGATTCCTCATCGAAAATTAATGTAAAAGAATTTTATCATCATTTCGAATATGTTTATATGAGTGGAAAACTACATGATGACTATTACGTAAGTGAGCTACAATAAATTTTCGAGTGAAAGGAAATATAAAACTTAGCAAAATTTATCAATTAGCAACATTAATTTTGAATAACTTTCTAGAGGTTGAAAAGAGGTCCCACAAAGCCATGTGCCGTAGGTTCTCATGAAAACGTTGAATCAAAAAATAGATATTCCGAGTTAATACCTTGTAAGTAATATTAAAATCACGAAATTAAACTGAATATTTTATTTTTAATTATATCCTTGTAGATGACGAAAATAGAGTTATTTTACCTGGTGATGGGATTTCAAATTACATCAATGCTAGTTACATAAGGGTAGAGAAATATTTCGTATACTTTAAAAATTATTTAACCATTATTTAATCATTCATTGCAAATACCTATCTCAGGGTCACCATGGTCTAGATTGCACCGAGAAGAAACGAGCTTACATTGCTACTCAAGCACCAATGAACAATACCGTAAATGATTTTTGGAAAATGATTTGGCAGGACAATGTAAAGCTTATATGTATGTTAATGAAGCTTGTTGAGGGGAATGAAGTAAGTAAAAAGATATTTAATAGAATTTATTTTTTAAATCGTGAAAACACGTTTATTACCGTACATTTCAGATTAAATGCCAACAATATTGGCCATCACAGGAGGGAGAAACTGTCTCATATGGAAATATAACAATCAAATTGGTAAGCGAAGAAGAATATTTCAATTACACGGACAGAATTTTTAAAGTGACTTGCGCTGGCAGTGAAGAAAGTCGAAAGGTAAGCTCCATAGCAATTCATAAAAAAATTTCAAAATAATCACGATTTTAATGTGAATTTCAGGTGCGGCATTTACAATTCACAACGTGGCCGGATGAGGGAGTACCGGAAAATATCCGCTCATTGGCGCAGTATCTCGTGGAGGTGCGCACATACCTGTCGATACCGCAATCACCCGAAGATGCTCCAATAGTTGTTCATTGCACTGACGGTGTTGGTAGAACTGGTACCTTTATCGTTTTGGACATGTGCATAGCTCAAGCAATTTTGACAGGGGTAATCGCTCGTTTTTTTTTTTTTTTTTTTTTCATTCAAATCATCTTGCGTTAGTCTCGACGAAAATATATTGAAGCTGTAACTTTTTAGGAAGTCGACATTTTTCCGCACATATTTAAAGCTAGAGAGGATAGAATAAATATGGTCGATAAGTTGGATCAGTATTTACTTATTCATGTTGTTTTGCTGGAATTCTTCACCATCGAGTTGAATACCTGCTTCGAATGCGACAGTACATTAGCGGAAAATATTTTCAAAGCCAAGCAAGAATCATCGTTTCGCTATAGACGGTGAGTTAAAAATCAAAGACATCAACTTCAAATGAATGTTGTTCCTACAAGTTCGATTTAATATTTTCAGCATCACTCATAGAGCCTGGTACGAACGGATATTTGAAAAGCCTCAGATGGAGGAAAAAAAATTGTCGGCTCGAAACAAGGCCAAACATAGGTTTCCCGATACGGCCAGAGATGCACACAGACTGTACTTAAATAGATCGATAAGCAGCGATCCGGAAAGCGATTACCTGGCGGCCTGTTTCGTTCGGGGTATTTTCAAAGATCGCAACTATATAGCAACGCAGTTACCGATGCCAACGACGGCTGGCGACTTTTGGCGTATGCTTTCTGAGCAGAACGTCGAACACGTCTTGGTGCTTCAGTTGCCGGATTTGCATGATCCAGTGCGTAGACTTGCTCGAGATTCGCCATTTTCCTAATTTCTTCGTAATTTGTCGTTAATTTTTTCATTCATTACAGTCTTATTGTGAACTGGTACCTGACAATAAAGGATACGCTGGGACTAATTACATTAAGGTTATTCGTCAGGCACACCTCACTGAAGACTTTCAATATTACTTGAAGGAAGAAGTACTTATTATCGATAGCTCTAAGGTGAAACAAAGTCAATGTCTCGAATAGAATAAGATAAAATGCGCTTTAAGGAATTTACTAATCATTGTATTTTTTTTCATAGCCTTCGAGAAAACAAATAGTGAAATTTTTTAGCTACAAAAATTGGACGGAAACCCCAAAACCATGCCTAAAAGAGTTGTTGCATATTTGGAGAATGTTGGAATATCAGCCCAGAAAAATACAATGCCCAATTGTTGTAGTATGCCGGTAAGTACTTCGAAACTCTTACAGTTTAATTCTTATTAATTTTCATAAATTTATCGGTCATGTTTGCAGTGATGGGGTGACTGCATCTGGATTTTGGCTGACGATGTCTCTATTGTTTCAAAAAATGATAATCGATAGGAAATGTGACCCATCTGAAGTAGTTCGTACTTTGAGGCGTCACCGCGAAGACTTTTTCAATCGTCCTGTAAGTTTTTCCTCACATTTAACCTTGATACCAAACAACTGTTATTACATACATATGCTTCAGGAATATTTGGACTACCTGTATGATGCTGTTTTGGCCTGGATATTGGATCCGATAGAGACTGACATTAATTAGTTTATAAACATAGGTTTATATATATACATGTTTTATTTGTAATTTATCTTCATTTCATGCTCGATAGAATACTCACAATTATTTTACATTACAATCTTCAATATTGAATTCGATTATATCATGCATGATCCACGTGAAAATTGTTGAAAGCTTTTTTAACTTTTATATTTTGAGATTGAATCATCAATAAAATCAATTAACTGCGACACATTAGCAAAAACTAATGGATAATTTGTATCCGCACATCCATAATTCGTGTAACTTGTGATTCCGACCACTATTCCTTGCACTACTAGTGGCCCACCCGAATCACCCTGGAAAATTTGCACATTAAGTAAAAATTATCTATTTTCGTTACTTAATATCAGTAAGAAAAAAATTAATTACTCTACAAATTCCTTGTCTTCCTAAATTAGTGGTGCATATCATCGAATCATCGAAGAAATTTTTAGGATACATTTTTCTACATAAATCGAGATTGCTTATTTTCGTTTTGGCTTTTCGCAGTAGATCTGAATTAGCGCCTTGAGCCTAAAAATATCCAACGCAATTTGTAATTTATTCGATGCTTTTTTTTAACTCATTAACGTCCAGAATGACGAAATTTCGCTTCGCTTGATTCGCGATTTTTCCCATGTTTTGGGCTTTGCAAATGTATAATTTGAGGTAAAATTTAATATCCTTTTAAATTCTGTGCTCACATTTTTGATTTGATGTTTAGTTAAAAAGTTATGGTAGTTTAAATAAACAAAAATAAAATTTTGTGCAAAACATCAACTTTGAAATTTTTTTTCGCAGTGTTACGGCGAAAAATTCAAGATTATCACCAGAGATGATCATGGGTGTAGAAGTAACTTTGAGAATTTTTGCAGATTTTTCGAACCACTTTTTCTAACAAAATTGCGTTCATGAAGTGAAATATTTATTAAAAACCAAACTCATTTTTTATCTCGAAAACCATTGAGTTTATGAAAATAATTTATGGAACAAAGGCCTAGATTAATCAAAGAACACATTTGAATTTTTCAGAATTTTCGGAGGCGATATTCCAGTTTCCTGAAAATTGTGAGATATAATTTCCAAACATCATGTCCAAAATTCTGAAACACAATTTGAAAATATTCCTAAATCAATTCCAAAACTTTTTTGTTCTATAAACTTTTCCTATAATTGAATTGTTCTGAAGTAAAAAATTATACATTCTCGCCCGTACAGTTTTTTTTTGTGTAATCATATGTATTAAAATTTTACTTTAAGGATGCCATTTTGTTAAAAAAATTTGTGAAAATTCCTTAAAGTACTTCTACACCCATGATCACCTCTGATCATATTTTTTCCGCAAGACTTCGAACATAATACTCCAAGTCTGTGTTTTGCACAAACTTTTACATTTTTTTTGTTTCATTTTGTTCTTTTTAAGCAACCATAACTTTTAAGTAAACATCAAATCCTAAATGTGAGCCTGAAATTTAACAGGACATTAAATTTTACGTCAAATTATACATTTGCAAAGCCCAAAACATGGAAAAAATCACGGATCAAGCTAAGCGAAATTTCGTCTTTCTGAGAATTAATGGGTTAAAAAAAAAATCGACGTACCACAGTTCTGCCGAATCCACTCATAACAGCGTGTGAACCTTCTGGAATAACGTAATTCTTTGCAGGTAAGTTCGCTGGAGCCGTCAAATCGTCAAATATGAAGTAATCTTGAACCTACAGCAGCAAATACTTTTTTAATTATATTTTTTAAGAAATAATTTTAAAAGAGAAGATAAAATTGCATCTCTGAAAACATCTTCTGACCTCCAATACTGCAACATCATTTTTGCCAGGTTGCTGAAAGTTTTTGGCTACATGAATTGCAATGACTTGATTAACAGGCCCAGGTTTCTTCAAATTTATGGAACCACTCATTACTTCGAAATCCTCCGGATCGAATCTGGTTTTAAAACGAATTGAAGCAAAAATGTCATTGTTTCATTCAAATTATTAATTTCATTATTTACTGAGTGAGCTGAAAAAGTTACTCACTGATCTACACAATGGGCAGCTGTCAAGACATGCTTTTCATGAATAATCACACCACCGCAGTGATGCTGGTGACTATACGTGTTTCTTATGGAAACCTGTTGAATGAATTTTTTAATTATAATTTTCAGAAAATTTGAGGCAAAAAAAATTGTGAACCTGGTAAGGAAATTCGCCCGGAAACGCCTCGGTGCCTTCCACCATACGTTTCGATCTTGTTGGCGAAGATTGGACATCTGAAAATTATCACGGCATTCAATTATTTTTATAGCACTGCGTACTGGCATAAGTTCACATGTATGGCATGCTTTTCGGTGGCATAAGTCGCACATTCTGGCACCGGTGCGCTCGCATCACACTCACATACGTTCGTGCGCTAACCTTACATCGCGCTACCAGAAAGCGCGACTCATGACTCGGATAAGGGGGTATAAATGTGAACTTAGCACAACGCTATAAAATGTTCCAGCTCCTCGCTGCGCTCGGGCCCTCAACTACGCCGTGCCAAAAAGTGTTACTTATGCCACTATAGTATCGTAATAGTACTTTATGCAACGGGTACGGATATACTTTTTCAGCGAAACGAGGGGTTGCAGCACGAGCCGAAGGCGAGGGCTGTAACGAGTTTCGTTGGAAAAGCATATCCGTATCAGTTGCATACAATATTTTATGGTACAAAAGCCTAAAAGTAGCGGCGAAGTTGCGATTTTTAGGTTAGCGTGCCATAAAATATTTTATGGTACAAAAGCCTAAAAGTAGCGGCGAAGTTGCGATTTTTAGGTTAGCGTGCCATAAAGTACTATGATTGATCAGTAAAAATTTAAATGCCTATAGATTTTTAGTAACTTACTTTCAAAATTTGAGATGCAAAGAAGAACCAGTGCCAACACTATCATTTTGCTGAGAACAATCCTGGGTTATAAAACATTGCCATTTTTAGAATAGATGTTACTTTTATAGTACCGATATGCAATCAAAGATAAGATTGTGGCGTGAATGTCTTTCGATAAGTACCGATTCTTCAATTAACCTATGGTCGTTAAAAAAAGATCATCGAGCATTAAAATATCTTTATTTATCGAAGTCATTAAATGAAACTAATTGTAACAACAATGATCAACTCTCATATACTTGTACTAGTGATGTTTTATTACGGCTCGTACGTACTACTACAACACGAAGAATATCTCGATTTCTATACAAATCTTTCTTTGCAATTACTTATACATTGAAAACATGTCTTTATTGATAAAAATACTCTGTGCAAATTGCATTACATATCGAACGATTGAGTTAACCGTGCAAAAATATGGCAGAAAAATGTACAGATTTTATACTTCATCGTTCACCTCTTCATTGAATACTTATGTTATTAATTAAAAGCCCAGAAACATGTGTCTTGATAAGCCCGATCATATTTTCATCGGTTCAAGTCGCTTAAGTTAGTCCCTGTCAGTAAAATTTTCCATTCATAAAAAAAATTGTTAAATTGTTGTAATATTCAGAGTAAACCATCAGCATGACCCAGGTGGTGTCGGCTTCTTCAAATAATCAATGGTTACAATCGTGACGTAGGGTAAGGTGACCGAACATAGGTAATATTTGAAAGACTCGTTTATAATAAAGATGACAAAAAAAGTTTAATTGAAAAAACGGGTAGATTCTCTGTATTATTGCGATATTTTATTTCGAAGAAGAACGGTATTAGCGAAAAATGTAAAAAACTAAAATATCTTACGATTAATCAAAGAATACACATACGAATATTTACAGAATTTTTAAATAATTTCGATAAAAAATCTGGCACGAGCTCTTAACTACATGCAAATTTAAAAGAATCTTTTGCGCTCATGACTTGGGAAACTTATTTGTTTATTTCGATACTTAGCTTAGCAAATGGGAATTTTTAACTTTTACAGTTAAGAATCATTCTAGTAACAATTGATGTTCCGAAGAAACATAAGTTATAGAAGCCGCTGTAGCCCACATGTTTAGCTCTAAATGTTGCGATACACTAATGCGTATTTACATAAAATACGGATCACAAACATGAAAATCAAATGAAAATTCATTCTATTTCAAGCCCCTATTAAGGTCTTAAGTATAGTATTGTTTTTTCTTTTAATAAACTCGTCGTGAAGAAATTTGAAATAAAAAACACGAAATATTAGAACATCAATTTGCAATGTACATTTGTAGTATTGTAATGACCGAGCCACGTGAAAAATAGTTGATGCACTCATAAAATGTTATCGTCACTCGTTGCAAATATTCGATAATATAAATGAAAACTTGGCTAAATTCACTTTAGTCTCGTTGTAAAAATGAGTCATTTAAACGGCAGCTTCTTAATCTTCGTAGTTTTCACAGCTCTGACGACGGTCACAGGTAAAACGGTTACCTACACAGCTCGTGTCGTTTGCACATTTATCAAAATTGATGGACCTTAGGTATATTTGTGAACAGTGGTCATCGAGCATATCGTGGTCAATTCAAGTATCAAGTGGCTCTGACGAACGCACAGTCGGAGCGCGTATTGTGCGGCGGAGGCATTATCGCTCCATCGTTCATCATCACAGCTGCTCATTGCGTGTGCGATAGGAAAAACCGCATCAGATCGGGCAAACTGTTTGTCGTAGTCGGAGCGACTGATTTCGCAGATCTGCACGAGCAAAGGATCCAAGTGCAGGTTACGAAGATTTACTTACCGAAGAAATACACGAACGTCAACCCTCATCCGGGTCAAGAATTCCTACCCAAAGCAGACATCGCCGTGCTCAAGGTATTCGTGCGCATAAACTTTGATTTTACAATAACAAGAATTGTTTTGCAATCGATCTATAAATACGTCGACCACGTTCGCAGCTGAAAAATGCCTTGGACCTAGAACCCAAAATATTTCAACTGGCAGAGGCTCTAAGCTTTGGGAGCACGTCGTCGGATTGGGTGAACGCGATGGCAACGATCGCCGGCTACGGCTTGTACGACATCGACTGGGAAAACATCAAAGTCGATGCGGCCAGCAACGAGATCCTACAGTACGGCTCGACGTCCTACAACTCGTTGCGTTGGATCAAAACTCGAGTGCTGAGTAACGACATTTGCAGGGAAAAGTACAATGTGCCCGTGAAGCCCGAGCAAGTGTGCGCTATAGCTCTCAGCGATTTGGAGGACGTCGATGCTCACTGCACACGAGGCATATGTCACGTAAGCCGTCGATGACAATTGAACAAATTAACATCGATTGAAGTTGATTTACGACGAGCAAAGGACCGAATAACGTGAAAAAAAAATGTTTCTACGCGCTTTTCCAGGGTGACAGCGGCAGTCCACTGGTCGTTGAAGAGCGCATCGCTGTTGGCGTTGCCTGTACAGGTTCAAAACTCTACAACAAAAATATCAATTTGGGCGTTTACACGAGAATCTCGTCCTACGCCGACTTTATCCGCAAGGCCATGGACAACGAGAAATCCGTGGATATACGGGAAGCCACTTGGATGACCGGAAATATGTTTCGGGACGAGGGTTTCGAGGAGGCATAATTTTCCAGCTGCCGAATAGAAAATGCCCTGCCGAGCGAGGCCGTCAACTTTCCAATGATATTTGTAACAACGGAGCGGGGTAAACAACGCGAGTCATTCTGCGCGGCATCGGTATAAATTATACATCGTACTACACGCGTGTACTTATTGCGATCAAATACACGAGATACGCTGATTTATGTTATTATTATTATGTATCTCTATGCCTCTCGCTGTATTGAGAACTTTCTTCATTGGCCATGTATGAACGACTTTGGTCGACCGAAAAAAGCTTCATACCATTGCAGCAGATAAACAGATATGTGTATGAATCGACACATCCCACGCCGCACGCGCAGTGCATCGCTGCAAAAAAAGGCAAAACGCCGTCATGCCGAGCGCTTCGAATAAACATCTTTTATCCGTTTTATTTATATGGAACGTCGATTTCTATCATTGAAAGTAAAAGTAGGTCGAATAGTACGACAAAGCTTATATACATCTTCCAAGTCAGGTATACTCTGTAGTATTCATATGCATGCAAATTTTCGCTAGAATAAAAGTTTTCATCTTTCAAATTCAGATTTCAAGAAAATCATAGTTACACATTAATAAGCATCGAGTTAATAAACATTATATTATTAAAATACTCGTATGAACATAATTAATCGTACCATAAGGTGATAGGTACAGAGAGTAAATTTTTTCGAACTTTTTTTAATAATTAGACAACATTGAATTATAATTATGATTTTCTTATTTATTTGAGCGTTTGAAAGACATTCGAAATTATAGTTGAGCATGAAAGAGATCAACAGGATAAATTAGTGTTTCATATTGTGTTCTATAGCAGCAACATGCATCAGTAAAATTACAAGCCGTTGAGCAATTTTTTTCTAAATAGACGTGCTACTTTTTTGTTATTAGATCTATGATACTGGGCGTAAATCTCGTTGGAGTTATCAATTTTAGAGTTTATTGACATTTTCCCAAAACTATAAATGTTGAGCTCGCACAGGGTCGAGATTTCCTAATAAAATAACAACTGTCAATTTTCACGATCGCATTAATTGAGTTGATGTGTATCACAAGTAAGCTATCTCCAAACGGCACTGCTTATATTGCAAGAGATAGTGTCAACTGTTTTTTTAGAATTAGTTATCCTTTTTTACTTTTACAGTCAACTTCAATACAAACTCCACTGCTCCATAAATAGAAAAGAGGTTTTATTTAACTTCATTTATTTTACAAAGATCAGTTATTTTTGTAAAAAATATTTGTAGTTATTTTAATTGTGTGAAGATATATTGTGTAGAAATGAAATCGTTTTTATATTATAATTTTTAACTATGTAAGTACTTACCAATAAATTGTCAACGAGTTTATAATTAAGCGTATGCCGATCGAACTTTAATTCGTCACAAAAAAGTTTGATTCGATTTAACCGCAATTCAAGTTATCGATGAAATAAGGTAATGGCTGATTCGTGAAGGTATCGGCTCGAAATATAGAATTGGCTTAACTTGTTGTATACAATAGCTACTAAGGCTCGAATTTCGAATCTTTGTACCATTGACAAACATAAATTCAACATCATAATATTACGCGTGCAGAGTATATAGTATATATTAGGTAGGTATATATAGGTAGGCCGCTTGACGTATCAGCTGCACGCTTGTCAATTATCCTCAACGCACCACAAACAGTGCACAATCATAGCTCTGAGTCGTATAATACACCGAGTTGACGTAACGCAGCGCTCCGCACGCGTTCAATATGCAAATCCAAAAGGTAACTGCACTCGGAGGCTTGCGAACGAGCCAACGCAGTCGAGAAATAACATCCACGTGTGACGTTTTCTCGCCTTCCTCTCTGCATATAGCCACGCGCGCAACTACGCGATTATACCAATGTCAATGTAATATGTATACAACTACTGCTGCTGCTGCTGCTGTTGCACATAACTGAGGCAGGTAGCTGCAAGAAAAACACAATAGTTTACGACAATTTGGGTAAAATTGAAATGACGTTTCAAAACAAAGTGACGTAGATATTAATTAATTGACGTGACTTCAAAGCGCTCAAATACGCCCAGTCCGTGGCAGGTTGTGCATCAATCAAGCAAAATATTGAATCGAACGAGTTACTGCAGTGCAGGATTAACATTTTTCACACGTGAAATTTGTTGTTCCGCAGCTACTGAGGCTGAAATGATACTAAGTTTACTTAGCCGTTGCATCTTGAATTCGCTGAAATAGTTCTGGGGAGGGCTAGTTGAGAGAAACGCTAGAATATCATCATTGAGGCGCAAAGTTATTTGACAAAAAGAATTAGATTTAATTAAAAAGCACATAATTGCGCATGAAATTAGAGAAAGTGCGTAGACGTATACGAGCTTATTATATTTCATAGCTGCGTCGGAGTTATGAATCTCCGAATGAGAAACGATCAGAAGTGCGCGCGCTTAACGGGCCATGTTTTACACGAGGCGAGCGCGCGCTATTACACAAGTTCGCAGTTATGATCCGTCGAGGCCAGCCGAGCTAATAAATGAGTATCGATTCGTCTGTGCCATTTTTATGCGAGCTGCCACATTGACGTGCGTATACGGACGCGTCTCGACTCGTACAACTTCCTCGTGCGAGCTGCTTTGTTGCCCATTGCCTCCAGACGGCCAAAGTCAATTACCGCGAGCCAAGTCAATTGCGTCCCAATCTTCATTCGATCAGGCTGCCGCGTTTTTTAGACCGATCTAAGGAACTTGTCGGGATAGGCAACGAAAAAGTGAAAAAGTCTCCTCGACCTTATGTCAGCTGCGATGCACGAAGCAAATTCGACGGAGGAAAACAAAAATCACAGCCACCAAAATTATGCAACGAGCCTCGTGCGAGCAGTGAATACAACTGCACGAAAGCTGATAATAATTGTTGGAAAGCATTAACAACGTCAAGGTTCGAGCCAAGTGATCTCGTGGACTCCTCGACAAACCTCATTTGTCGTAATGCGTAAATATAAATACATTCACACGTCCACAAGCAGCAAGTATCTTTGTAGCTCTGGGTTCAAATAATTGTCATAAAGTTTTCGACGACGCAGAGAAAGAGAAAGAGGGAGAAAGTATGTTTTCTTTCAATTCTTGAAGCTCAAGCATGCAAGTATTAGTGCTTGTAAGTGCTGTTATGCCCAAAGACTTGTTTCGTTGACTTCATTTTTTTCCCTTTTATTTTATTTTGTTTTCGAACAATGACGCGATCATTCGGTTCATCGGGCGCTCAGCGAGCCAAGCGATACCACTTTAATGATCGACGCGAGACAGAGTCGAGACTGAGAAAGAAAAAAGAACTTTCTTTGGCAGGGGTTAAAAAATAAAGCTATTATGCTCGCAAACGGGCCGTTGAGCCGTTGCCGTGGCTCAACAACGTAATGAAATGACGGATGGCTTCTTTTTGCTCCAACTCTTTTTCTCGCCTGTCGTATCAATTCATTTCTAAATGCTCGCGCCAACAACTGCATGCTTACGTAATATCGAGCTTTACAACTCTTTGCATCGCTGCAGTAAATGAGCCTAATTTCATGAGCGACGCTTTTGCATCCAGACTCAGTTATGTCAAAAACTAACTCGGTTCAGGGCTCAAAATATATTATATAGAGCTTACAAATTGAATACATGCATTACACTGTTTTCATTTTGAAGTTTGCCTGGAAGCCACATAAAGAATCGATAATACATTTTTTCCAGAAGTTTGAGTCGATGAAATTTAACACCTGCAAAAAAGCGTAAAAAAGTATTCAACATTGATCCACTTGTTCCAAGTATGTAGCGCTAATTCAACAAACCGATGACATAGACGTCTGTTTGGGGTATGGGGCATACAAACACGGAGGGCGACGGCGTCGTACCGTAAATCTGGCTTCAATCAGGCTGCGAGCGGTGCGTTGCGCGCCTACCGCCCTCTAAATCATAGCTTCGCGCGTCGGGTGCGGAACGCAGTGCACTGGGCGAGCCTCGTAATAAAAAGGCCAGTTTCTCGCAGCTTGCGTAAGATCCGTACACGGATATGTATATATTATAAGTGCACGCGACTAACGGCGAATATATGTGCATATAACGCACGCAACTATTGCTCGATGGACTACATATGTGTCCGGACACTTTCTCCGCGGGTGGTGCAACTTATTATTTTCTATTACAGCTTCTAATGTATTGACTTACAAGGGCTCTTTAATAGACGAATGCTGCCCGTGGCTAATTATCCGCGGACTCGAGCTATGATTTGCGCCAGCGCGAGTTGACTTAATCCAAATGATCGCGAGTACATTAGTAATTTATATTCTTTGTGCGATTTTATCGCGGCGAGTTATTGCTGCTATACCAGCCGATGCTGCTGTGCGCGCTTAAAACTCGCCTCTACGACCAAGTGGGATTATCAATTTTAAGCTTCGAAATTATATATTTTGCCTTGGCGCTTTTTATGCTTCCCCTCTATATACCTTTGAGGAATCTCAGCTGCAGTGACTCTCGGCTGCACGCGGCTTATTCATGTATAGTATGCACGCGCGCCAACGATGTGCAGCAGCGGTGCGAGGCTGATAAATAAATAAGCTGCTTTAAAAGCTCCGCTCAAATTGCCCTTTAAATTGCTACTAACAACTGCATAAGTATGAGCACTTTTTTTAGATTACGGAGTTGCGCATTTTATAATATGTTTGCTCAACCAGTTGCTGCAGGGAGATCGACCGTTGATGTCAGCTAATGTTTCAACTATGCACACTAATTTTTCCAGTTACCTTTATAAAAGCTAATTTCTCATCTCGTAAATGCATCCAAGTCTAAGTAATACTTTTGCATATACTAGAGAAACCGTAAATCGGAGCAAAATTAGTGTAGGTTGTCTTGTATCTCCAAAACTCACCAGACAAGAAAAAAAGGTGCACAGCGTATATTTTTTGTACATTGTTGATAAATCTCATCAGCTACAAATATCCCTACAAAATTTTACGAACTGTCTGGCATCTTTTCTCAAAAGCACGAAATTGAAGTATTTCTAAAATTCAGGTTTATTGCTATAACATTTAAAAAATCCAAGCTCAATTTGACTTAAAAAAAAAAAACATAAACTCTAAAAGAGTCGGTTGGAACACTTCGTAAGCCTCGTTATACTATAGAAAGAAAGATATAAAAGTCAAAATATGATTGAGTTCGATGTGGACTTTGGTCACCAAAAAATTCCTAGCAAGGTCTGAGCTTTCTGAAATATCTGTTAAATTGTTGTAATGATATAAGCCCCAAAATTTTGTAGTAAAAAGTAACATAGATATAATGGGCATGTTCATGTTGCACCCTCGTGGCTTATCAGATGCAACTAGGGAAGAATTGCACCAGTGAGAAGCAATCGTAAAATTGTAAAAGTCAATTCGATGTATCCAAGTATTCGATATATCGGTGTAAGTGTGCGCCCAGTAGTACATTATAAATGCGTGAGGCAGCTATTGCGCAATTGAGAGAGGCTGCAAGTGTGAGTTTGTGTGCGCTCGAGTGCGTGACTTTCTCTTGCATATGTATATAATGTAGTATATATGTGTGTGTGTGTGTGTGTGTGGGCTCGCATATACAGGGATCGGCGACTGCCAGGGTGGACGTTGGACGAAGACAAGTCAAGTAAGTGCGGGCCTGTACGCGAGCTCTCAAGCAATGATCATTAATCGTGGTAACAAATGATATTGGGTGTCGATGAAGATTTCTTCTTGGCTCGAGTGGTGGCCGTGGCAGAGCGACGCAGCGCCGGCAACGCTCACTGACAACGAAAAAAGAAAAAAATGACGTACAAAACTTTCTCCATGTCCGTGACTTTTGCCGTAATGCTTAGAGAACATCCTCTCGTGCGGACTTTTCCAAATTGTCAAACTCAGTAATCGATACATGTGTGCAGTTGGCAGCCAATTATCGATACCACCAACGTATATATACGTAACATCTTTTCAAGTTATTCTCGCGCATGTAATATATATTGATTACATCTAAGTACATATGCGCAGTACCGACTGCACCCAAGGATGATTCGATGACGCCGCCAAAACATCGAATGCCATTTTCACCATTATACTTTTCTCGCGTCTTCAAGTTCACGTAATACTCGCTAGTTTCTGCATGTAATTACGCGATACGCGTCGAACGTACACGTGACTGAATAATCACGATGTTGATAAGTTTATGCTCGTTTAAGCTCGTTTATGCTCGCGCAAATTATTTATGTGGCCATTGTGTGCAGCTATTGCTACACATTGGAGCTTACAATTCGGTGCACTACTACACTTACAACTTATACTTGCCAAGACCTCGCATATGCATCAAGTTTCGACCTACTTATCAATTTTCGTCGTGATTATATCGGCGAGCGAAGCACCGACATAATATGTATCAGAAAACCTCGTCTGCCTGCGCAAAGGCAATTCGCTCCCGGAGGAAAATGCGAGAAAAACGTATGTCGCGCGTGGAGAACCGCAAGCTCCGGGGGAGGAGTCTGCGCTTGAGTATAGGCAAAAGCCAAACGATCAAGTCGACGAGTCTGCTCGAGTCTCGAGCTTCTTAGGCGTTTGCTTCGACAATTGCTCCAGCTAAAGCAAATAACTTCATCCGAGCCACACACGTGTAATCATATCGTCTGCGTCTGTCGTGCATGAATTATTCGATCGAAAAAATGCGCAGATCGCCGAGTTGCGGAGGTAATTGCCAGCGTGACTGGCGCCGCTCGCGACGCAACTGGCTACGCGCAACACGTAAATATCCACTTCCACTGCTATTCTCAATTTTCGTATCGCTAAAAAGCTCTGTGGCTTGAAAAAAATACTAAAAGCGCAACTTCTTCTACGTTACGATTAGATCTCAATACTGAAGCTATTTAATTGTTTCTCGTCGTTTGAAACAATTTTAAAGTTTATTAGTGAATCCAATATTAAATATTATCGATACTTTCAATTTTTCGTAATAATGAATAAGACTAGAAACGAAAAGCGTTTTTAGACTTTGAAAATATAAATATTTATAAAAAATGTTAAAACCTAAAGTTGAAAAGTTATTAAATTCTTCAGGATTTTCCGAAAATTTTGTTGCCTCTTGGATAAAAAGAATCGAGCGTTTGATTCGATCAATCAATTTAAACTCAACATCGAAGCAGATGCATCGCATGAGTAATCGATATTTTCCTCCCTCGGCGTGTCTGCGAATGAGTCTTGGAATTGAATAACATCGCACGTCCCTAGTGTCGTTATCGATAAAAAAAGACCCCCAGCACACTTGAAATTATGCTGCATATTATTATATAGCTTCGTTGGTGCACACAGAGAGGGGGAAAAGAAGTAAAAGGAAGCTTTATAATAGAGATTATATAGGCGCTCAGTTTGCAGCTCCATTTGACTCGCGATGACTGTCGAAACTTGGATTTTCTGTATAGTCGTGCGTACGCGTGAGTTTCGATGACGTTGGAACTTTTGCTGCATTAGATACTCAATTAAAAGTAGTTGCAAGAAAAATATTCACGAAAATACAAATACGGCGTGTCACGTTTGAATTATACTTTCAGAAGAAGGAATTCGCGCATATAGAGACAAGGCAAATCGAGCTGCACAAAGAAGAGCGCGTGCACAAGTTGAATTATAATATATGAAAATCTTATTGAGTTATAAGTACGCAGGCATGTGCACGGGTAAAGGCTGAACGAACAAAAAGCGAAAATCGAGCCAATGCCGGATGGATTTGAGAAGCTCAGCAGCTACACGCGTATCTCGCTGACACAGCCAATCAGCATCTCATAAGACGAGCGCGCACGAGAGAGAGCCAGAACGAAAAAGAGATGTATCCTTTTAGTGGAAAAATCAACAGACGCAAGCACTTGCCCTCAGCTCTTGGCCACATATATACATATTATATTCGCTCATATGTATGTAGACATTCCGACGCGTCGGCTGCATCATACCCCTCGCAGAGATTGATATGCACTCGGGCAAAGAGCAAAATAAAATCAAACCAGACACTACCGCCAACGCGATCGCGAGTCGAAACTTTTTCTTTTTTCCATTTCGTCAGTATCGGTGAAGCAGCACAGCGGCAAACCCTTATATTATATACTTACTCGTAGTCATAAGACTGGCTAATTAAGACTCCGCGAGATGAGGATATGTGCGTTGACGCGCTGCGGGATAGTCCGCATTATTGTACACATTGTGCCACTCGTAGCGATGCAAAATCAAGATCCTAATGCATATGCCATTGGACGCTTATGTGTCAGCTGGTGCGCTCGGCGATTCAAGTAGCCGCTTCGTACCATACAATACAGTCGTATTTCTATGCGTGATGAAATAAAACTCAACTTTGATATTTTGGAGACCAATTTCTCCAATTCAATCTATATTGTCTACTGCTCAAGACTTATAAACTCTTGTAATGAAATTTATGCTTGTACTTATTGATATCAATTTTTCCCCGAGCCTAGTATCCGTAATGTCCGATAATTGTAAGCATTATACAAAATTTGAACAAAATGGCATGCCCGACTCAAAAAAATTGTCTTTTCACGCGCATCCGTAATTTGAAAAAGCCAAACCTGATTAAAGTATGTATTTTGGCGCTTTCACCTTTAAAGTTTAATAGTTTAAGTCTAAATTTCATTTGAAGATGTGCTACCTTCTCTCAGGACTTTTGACATATTATTTCACGTATGTAATTTTTCAGCTACAAATAAGAGAAAACGAGGAAAATAAGCTTACCGATCGAAAGTTGTAAATTAATGGTATATTAATGAGATTTGTATGAGCTGTTTATCTTGTAATTGTTTATCATTCATTGGTCTCACAATCGTTGCATACATAACGTTTCGGAAGCCAGAGCAGCCAACACACGTACGTCCCATAAATGCAGCAACTACAGTCACGACAGCGACGCTTTATATTAATCGCAGCGACATTTGAAAGTGTCCGAAATCATAACGAGCACGATCTTACCGCGGTGGGGATTTTCCTCTGGTTAGCGGACTCTCCGTTCGTTCGCTTTTTTTTTCCTTTCCGAACGTTTACTACTTGGAATAATTTTCTCAGCTCTGCGCTACTTCAATAAAGTCGTGAAAATGAAAAACTTATTCATCGAGTTTTTCGTTTCGCTCGCGCTAGTCTCAAGCTTGCACGGTGTGTGTGTGAAAAATCTGCTTTCTATTCAAACTCTATTTGAATACCAAAAATAATTCTTCTGTCCAGTCGTCGGCCATCCCGTGGACAACGGCGAAGAGGCTCGGCCGGAAGATTTCAAGTATCACGTGGTCATACGTCGCAAGGGTCAGTACATTTGCAGCGGAGCCTTGATAGCCGACTCGCACGTGCTCACGGCGGCACATTGCGTTAAAAAAGACAAGAAACATCTGTCGGTTCTGGCAGGAACGACGAATCTGTGGCGTTACGAAGACGACGACGAGTCCCAAGAACGACTAGTCGCCAAAGTCCTCAAAGTCCACATTCCCAGCAAGACTCACATTCAAACTTTGACCAATATTGCGTTCATCACCAAGTATTACCTCGGCGACATAGCCGTGCTCAAAGTGCGTTACACTGCGTAGGAAACAAAACAAAGAATAGGGTTTTTTTACAGTTGCACATGTTTCAGCTGGACAAGCCACTGGGCAAGAGTAGCCGCGTAAGCAAGTTGAAGCTGGCCTCGAGTCTGCCCGAGGCAGAGACAAGCGGCACAGTAGCCGGTTACGCGCACCTCGGCAGCAAGGACGGTCGCGTGATCTTCGGGCCGAAGCTCCTCTACACCCGAGTCAACGTCATGAAGAATAACGATTGCCAGGAGCTGCATCGATCCGCCTACCGGGTGAACTTTTGTGCCAACTCTCCGAGGGACTCGACGCAAATAGTCCCGGTCGGCGTGTGTCAGGGCGACAGCGGCAGTCCTTTGGTCCAAGGCGACCGCGTCGTCGGCGTGCTGAGCTCCGGGCCGAAAAAGTGCGGCTACGACGCAGTTCCCGGCATCTACGTCAGCGTCTCGACTTACAAAGACTTTATCGATTGCGTGGTCCAGGAAGACTCGTAAATTGACCATGTAACGCGCGCCCTTGATTGAAATAAAATAAATGATTTACCTTCGTCGAACTGGTCTAATGCGTAGCGAATATTGCGAATCTGCTCGTGGGCGATCGACGTATCGAGGGTTGGCCAACGGGTACGTAATAAGCGCAGGGCTGCAGACACACTCGCGTGTTTGCGAGCGTCGACGCGCACGAGTTACGCGCGAAATTTAATCGATCCGCGGCAACAAAAAAAGGCATCCTCTGCTCGCTTTTCTCTCAAGGTCGTGGCGCCTGGCGATTATGACGTGCAAGGGCTACGCCGCTTTATGAATGCGCTTCGGCTACGTAGCCTCGTATGCATCGCGCACTTTTAATGGATAGCTGGATGAGCAAACCTATGTACACGATTGAACGCAAATTGGAAAATTGTAGCTCTACGCCTTGCGTGCCTTTCGTCATTAAGTGTACGCAGCCAAGTTCTACGCAATCATCGACTCATAGTGAGGCGCCCCTGGGACTACTTTATCCAGCTGGGATAGCTGCTGATTTGCACCTACGATGGCAGTAGCGAACAATAATCGCGAACGTTTTTCAGCGAAATCGAAAATTTAAAGGCACGAGAGTGCAACCGAGCCCTGACACATGAGAAACACTCAACTCACATGCGTATCTGTCATAATACCTTCTGCTCATCTGCGTTTCCAATTTGCCAGTCGTATAGAATTACGCAGCGAGACACATGTATTGACTGTGTCAGAAAATTTTTTAAAACAGATTATCATCACCTTAAGAATCAGGATGTACACCAAGATTCGGGTGACAAGTGTGGGTAAAGTAAATACATAAATATTTTTGTATATATTTAACGGTGTATATATAATTCGATTTTATGGCATTTAACAAGTGAAAACAAGCCACACATCATATACAAACGAGTATCATGTGTATGCGCTCATATCACGTATACGCAGGCAGACGCACGCGTTGACGGATTTTTTTTTGCAAATTGACGCGGAGAATACGTGATCCAGATCGCCTCTTCATTGACATGCTCTTCTCGAACAATATCGATTGTTGCTAACCTTGCTTCCGACTCGAGGACGCCGAGCTACCGATGATGAGCCCACGATTTTCTCCAACTTCCGCCTGTAACAATTACGATAATTAATTTCATCAGCAGTCGAGTCAATTACTTTTTTTCAGTCAAATTTACACGCTATTAAAATGAAAATTATCGACGAGGCCCAATCACGTGCCGCTGCGAAAGAAATTCGTTCAACTTTCGGAAATAAAACATGGGCGCAATGAAGTTGTGAATCGCACATGTATGTACATTTATTACCCGTGCATCACGTATACGAAATTCGTATGTACAAGTTCGACAAAAAATCGAGTTATTGATTTGGGTTGAAGATCGGCTCATAAAGCAAAGTACCGATTTAAATGAACTTAATGGACGCAAGAAATTTTTTGCGTGAATTTTTTCATCAGTTCATTGAAATAACCATTGAGGAACCAATTTCGAATCGTCGAAACTTTATTCATCGTACTCCCGACGCCATCTTTCGCGTGTACTCTAACATTTTACCTGCAATGCATCGCCTCGTGGGATAAAACAGCAAGAGCGACTATCTCGTAAAAGTTAACTCAAGAAAATAGATCAAAATATCTCGAGTGCTAATAAATAAAATAGCTATAACTTTTTGTTAACATTTCTTATTAACAAAAAATCGTTACTCTCCGTTGAATTTTCGCGTTATCAAAAATAAATAATAAAAAAGGTAATAAATACTTGTTGATTTATGAGAAAATAAATATTTTATTAACAGCAAGTCATACTTGCAATTGTCGCCTTATCAAGTATTTTTACAAAATATCACCTCACAAGCAAGATCAACATTATATTTCTAATTCTATAAACACTAATTTCATTGTACCGTAACTAAATCAAATTCAATTTTCATACTAGTGGCCCGAAAATGACTACTTCCCGGCCGCTGTGCTAAACGGGAAGAGCTATTTTCGAGTCACGGGATATGAATAGTATAGAGGCCTAAGCCGCGAAAACAGAAAGCCTCAGGGCACGTGTTTATTGGCCTCGGCTTCGCCTCGGCCGCTAATTACACGTACCCTCAGACTTTTCTGTTTTTCGCGGCCTACTATTCATTTCGAAGTGTTTCATATGATAACGCAAAATAAAAGACTTTTATTTTTGCTGGTATTTTAAAATTGTATGATTGGAGGATTATTTTTTTTGTATTGTCCCGAAACTCATATCATTTCTACTTTTTATGTAAACTAGAAAAGTCACCATATTCATAAATAAAATTCTCTTCAAAACATGATCAAAAAACAGACAGCAAGTCAATTATTACGCTGATATACAATTCAAACACAATAATAATATGGCATTATTGTCACATTTAGAAAGAAAAATTACTATTATCGTATTCTTCATCATCTGTGAGATCACATTCATCTATAAGTTTAGTTAATTCAGCATCATGTTCCATAGATTCATTTTCTAAAAGGTGACTATTTCCTTCCATAAATCTGGCAAACCTAATATATAAATAATGTGAAATAATATGCAGAAAATTAAAATATATTTTAATAACATTGAAAATAAATTAATATCTTCCTACCTTATAGGATCTTTTAATGTTAAAACTGTTTTCCACGGATTACATTGTGGACTATGACAAAATTGTTGAAGTCCATCCAATGCTTTTTTAGTTTCTATCACTGCCTCTTTTCGGTATTCATCATCAGTTAGCAAACGACGACGTTCCGGAAACATTTGTTTCCTAATAATTCAGATGAAGTAGGAAACAAATGTAAATACACTCATCAAAAGTCATTTTCACACAAAAATGTGATGAAAATTATGATTTAAAGATGAAATAATTTATAGGATTACACTAACCAGTAAAATATAATTACTTATAATGTACTCTTAGTGCTAAGATAAAAACTTATAAAAATTATTATTATGCAAAATTGTAGGAATTTAAGTATTTTTAATATCTCTGCACTCAATTACAATAACTTACCAATAGTCACGACTTTTGTAGTAAAATATGGTTGGAACATTGTAGAGTACCAATAATAATATGCAAAGTGATGTTGATGCTTCTCTAAAGTAACTACTGTGATAAACACACACTAATCCAGCAATCTGAAATTCATGAATTACTTTAGTGAATGAAAAATTAGTAATAAATATTAACTGTATACATTAATGTGTAATTTACATACCTGCAGAGCCCACTGAATGATATTTCTTGTTCTAGTATTGGTAACAGGTCCAATTCGATAACAAATTATAAAACTTATCAGAGCTGTAGATAGGATGTAATACAAAACATAATCTCGATATTGCATAGCTATCATCTGAGCATTTTCTAATAGTATTTGAGCCACATAAAAACTCATTGTATAGCCAGTAGCCACCATTAAGTACATAAACTTGCCCTAAGCAAAAATTAAAAATAATTAATTGATTAATTTTTTGTCCATAAACTCCATTTTTACCACACTTAAAAGTAACTTACTTTAGGAAATAGTTTTCCCAACAAATAAATCAAAATAAGAATTGATAAAGTGACTCCAAGGCTAATTCCACTCATGTAATAAAAGAGAGTGTTTCGACTTAATTTTTTGGCATACCAAAACATGAATATACCCACTGCAGTCAATGATATCTTGAATAAATCAATAGCTATAAAAATAGTATGATTAAACACTGTAAGATTGAACTAAAATTTTTAGATTTTGATAAAATATTATACATACTATTTTGAGTCATTATCAATTTGTATTTAAATTGATTTCCTTTGGGGCTCATGTACACCCCAATGCAACTATTTTCAAATGGATTAATGCTAAACTGTTTGCTTTTTTTGGAACTAAACAAATTGAACCGCCAATATCTCTGATTTTCTTCATGTTTATCTACAACTTCATGCGGAGAACTTCCTTCATACAATTCATAGCTTTCTAAATTTGTTTTCAAAGTCATCTGTACCAAACATTTATAGTTATAATTATAGCGTAATTAGCATATAAAAATTAATATTAATCAATTGAAAACTCACGATAACGGTTTTCCATAAATTAATAATATACTTTGACTTGGCATTGTGGCAAAAAATGCGCAAGCCAGACTTATCATTATCAACCCATTCACCTGGGTCCATAAAATGAACTGAAAATCAAAGTATACAAAAAAACACAGGTACAAAATTAATTATGAGTCGTATAAAAGAGGTTAGAATTCTTACCTATTTCAGGATCATGAATAAGAGCCTCGTTAAATTTAATACTCGATGCAAAAAATAGAACAAGTAATACTAGTGAGGATTTCATGGTCACCTTTGGATTTTCATGGACGCTTTTCATTCAAATTCACTGGGCGATAGTGAAAATGCTTTTTTCAGCTCCGATGCGGCATTGAATTCGAAAGGTAAATACACCACGCTTGAGCGATATTTTTTCATCAAGTTGTTTTTAACAGTGCGCGGGAATGAAGAATCAGTTCACCATTGTAAGAGGGCGCACGTTGGCTTGAAAGGGCCACTTTATTAATCTGAGCCAATAAAAATGTGCTCGATCGAAAAGTTTTGAACTAGTATTGTGTCCAAAATAAGCAATTGGTTGAAGAGTAAGTAGATATAGGTGTTCAGTTATAAATAAAATTATTAGTCATAAATGTTTTTTCAAATTTATTGAATAACAAGAAGATAAATAGGTAAGAGAAGGTGGTTGGAAAATTTCATCGTTTTAATTATGAGTTGAAAGTATGAAAATGAGCTTTGGGAAAAAATGGTCGGGTGACTCGAACGATAAGTTATGAAAAATGCGAGGCAGCAATGATAAATTGGTATCGTTAACAAGTGGCAGTAAAGTTACGCAAAAATGCGTAAGATTTAGTCAATGATTCAGGAATACTCTCTCCTTATGCACTTGGCTACGGTGGAGAGCTGCATGTTGCTCGTGCCCTCGTAAATCGTGCCGATCTTGCTGTCTCGGTAGAACTTCTCGTGGGGGAAATCGGTGGTGAAGCCGACGCCACCCATGAAATCGATGCACTTGGAGGTGACTCTTTGGGCGATCTCCGAGGCGTAATACTTGGCCATGGCGGCTTCCTTCATCACGTCCTTTTTGGCGTCGACCAGTCTGGCCGCGTTGTAGACCAAAAGCCGGGCAGCTTCGACTTCGATGGCGATCTGCAGCAGGCCATTATAGTGAGCACAATCGGAAGGCGCGCACAGAGTCTAGGTGCGTGTACGTACCTGGGCAATCTGATGCTGCAGCGACTGGAACTCGAATATCTGCTTGCCGAACTGTTTGCGCTCGAGGGTGTAGGGTATGGTGGCGTCGAGGGCGCCCTGGGCGATGCCGATCATCTGGGCCCCGATGCCGACGCGGCCCTCGTTGAGGAAGCCCGCCGCGTACTTGTAGCCCTTGCCGAACTCGCCGAGGATGTTGCTCTCGGGCACGCGGACGTTCTCGAAGTGCACCATGCAGGTGCCCGAGGCCTTGATGCCGAGCTTGTCCTCGGGCTTGGCGACGCTCAGGCCGGGCGTGTTGCGCTCCACGAAGAAGCTCGTGATGCCCCGGTAGCCGTTGGCCGGATCGGCGTTGGCGAACACCAGAAAGAGCCCGGCTATGTCCGAGTTCGAGATCCACATCTTGGTGCCGTTGATGACGTAATCGGAGCCCTCGCGCTTCGCCACTGTCTTGAGGGAGAAGGCGTCGGAGCCGGCGCCCGGCTCGGTCAGGCAGAACGAGCCCGCGTACTCGTTGGCCAGCTTCGGCAGGTACTTTTTTTTCTGCTCCTCGCTGGCCACCTACACCCATCCATCGCGAAGCAAAATTATAATTTCAATGAAATATTTCAATGAGGTGAAAGTGAAGTTACCTTCTTGACGAGCGAATTGACGAGGGTGTTGTGTATGTCGACCAAGGCACCGACCGAGGCGTCGACCTTGGACAGCTCCTCGACCGCGAGAATGGTCGTGAGGAAATTGCAGCCCGTGCCGTCGTACTCGCTCGGCACCTCCAAGCCCATCAAGCCGTTCTCGAAGAGCTTCTTCAAGAGGTCCGAGTCGATCTTGCCCTCCTTGTCCATTTTCCGGACGATCGGGTAGATCTCGTCGCGCGCCAGCTTGCCCACCGTCTCCTTCATCATGAGCTCGTCCTCGCTGAGGAAGTTCAAGGGCAGGTGCTGGCCCATCGGCGCCGTCGAGTGGATCTGGCGCTCGAGCAGCCGGCGCGACAGAACGCGCGACAGCCTACGCAGCGAGTTCATCTTGACGACTGTGACGAGAGAGAGAGAGAGAGCCCGTTGAAATTTCACGGCGAGCGGGAGCTTGGCGGCCGTGGACGCGACGAGGCTCGTTCGAGCGCGAGTGAGCCGATGTGTATGTTTTCGAGCGTCGCTGCTCGTGCGAATCGGCTCCGAGCTCGATGGGAGGCTTCTTCTTTCGTATTATCGGATCGGCAACAAGTATGCGCGTATTGTCGCCTACGTAAGCCGCCGCTTTGATTCGCTGCACTTTTTCGCTTTATCGAAATTTCGCATAAAAATACTCGAGAGCTCGAACGATCCCCAGCGATCGACAACCGATTGCCTTTCCTATCAATAATAACACGATAATGCAAATAATTCACCGGATTTGAGACGAGTTCAACACATCTTTTTCTTTCGAGCTAACCAGAATCTCGCTATTACGCTCTTCTTTCGCTTGCGATTCCACTGACAGCTGTGTATACGTCTTGTATGTTGTACGACGTATAATTTCTGATTACGGACTTCATTGTGTTTATTGAGTATGCCGCTTTGACTTATATAACATTGATAAAGTATAATTAGTCAGAAAGTCAACTAAATCATATGGGCAACTTTTTTCTTCGGAATCATACGTACGTCCCGTTCTTACGTTTACAAAGATTCGCTACTTTATAAGCAAATTCCACCCGACTTTTATGTTATTCCGGATAAAATTACTTATCGCCTACTTTGTTATTAATGACTCTTCAGAAATATATTTTTCTTTCTGGGCTTCATGTGGATGAATAGCCATTTGAACGATGTTTCATTTTTCTAATCTTATCGGTGTTTTGCTTCTTTTATTTATTTGCTTTTCGCAACTGATATATAATTTAAAAACTATAATGTAGTGTCAACTGTGCAGATCTCAGTTTTTAATCTCGAACCATTGATAAAACCTTTTTTCTCAATTCTCCAGTAGAATATGGCACGTTTTTTTTGCATAAACAGGGTCTATATTTACTCGTTTATAATGTCTACTATATAGTTTCATATTCAATAGCGCTTTCATATGTGCTGAAATATTTACACTAACTCCCTGGGAGTTTTGTATTTTTATCTTCGACACAAACATCAGAGAATACAACGTATTCAAAAACTTGTAGTATTAGTAATTATGCAGTCACAGAGGAAGTGAAAAAAGTCCGTTTAGTCTACATACATTTTTTCATTAAAAAAATTTTAAGACAAAAAAATATTGCTTATACTTTCCTTTATAGTGATTTTATTGCATAGTAAATGCTCATTGTCACAAAGTTGTATTATTAAAAACTCCGAATATTTTTGTGTATCACTATTTTTTGTTGTAACTTACATGAAATTTTGTAAAATCTAATAGAAAATAGACAAACAGCCTCTCTAAAACACTCGTCAAGTATTACTCTCTTTTAGGTAATCACTCATAATATTTTTCAAAACTTTAAATTATAATGATCAAAAATTGATTTTCTTGCATTATTACATAAATATTACTATATTTCACCACTTGCACAAACATATTTTCAAATAACTATGTTTCTTCAGTCTATTTTTTAATGCAGTCGCCTCAAATGAATAATTTCTTTACAAAACTCAAACATGCACAATACAGGGCAGTGATTGTCTCACATTTACACATACTTTATAAATACAAATATAGAGTTCATGTTACAATGTGATACTTAGATGGCTTGTATTTATATTTGAATAATTAATCAAATAATAGTAAAGCTAAGAAAACTGGTCAAAATTATTTTAAATAAATACTTAAGGTAAATGCTACAACATAAAAAGAAAGTCCAATCAAGACCCTCTTTATTGTGTATCATCGTAAAAAATACTTCAGATCAACATCTGCCACTATATAAATGATTGGTATTGTGTGAATCGAGGTACATACATTTTCATTATATTTAAAGGATCTTCTAATCTAATTCTGCACTTATATATTTTTTTCAATGTATTAAACTTTTTTCATTTTTATATTGAAATCTGATACTTTGAACACACTCATCAGATGCACAATTTTTCAAGGACTCAAAATATTTAGTGCTAATTTAGCTCATAGAAACTTGATATCTTAACAATTCGAAAGAAATGAACTCATTCGAACTCTATTTATTCTCACACCATTCATTTTCTTTTCTCACCTGTTCTTCTTCCATCGGAGTATAATCATTTTTAATGTTAAAATCCTTGCGAATTTGCTGAACCCCTTTGTCCTTGATAGACTTAGCCATGGCTTTGCATGCTAAATCTAAAAGCCCTTTGATTTCAAGATAATTAGCGGCCAGCATTATATCATATAGAGTGAAATAATCAACCTGAAATAAAAAGAAGTAACAATGCTATAAAAAACTAAAAAAAATGTAAATTTATATAAATTTAATAATCATCTGAAGTGAATGAAAAGGTTTAAACTAACGTAATATTCTTTAATACCTTCAAAAAGTTTGCATCCCAAGAAGGAATTTTATCAGTTCTTTTTTCTGGATCATAATTCTCAATGTAGGGAAGATCATCTTGATGATGAGTACACCATTCAATAACTTTTTTCAGGGTAGCACCGTTGACACTGGGTAGGAAAATGGTCTTTTTCTTATCTCCATTACTCAATCTCGAATCCTCTGCCATCTTTTTTATTGTAGTTGAGAGATAGGCAACTTTGATTTCAACCAAAAAATATACACAATCGGAACTTTGGAGTTTAATTTTGGAATGCATCTAAAAATTAAATATTATAATTTGAATTAATAAATAGTTTGCTATGAACAATAATTAATATATGGGTAAGGCTCAGAATTTTTGAAATAATCGTGCGCACGTATGCCCCCGATCTTGACGCGCTTTTGGTATGTCATTGTTATAGTACATGGTAAAATGGTCCCCAAACGAACATTTTAAACCCCCCCCCCCCCTCCTACCCCCGCCCCCGCTATAAACGTCTATTTTCGATGTATATTTATTCTGAATTAGCCTGAAGTAATTAAAAAATCCGAAAAAATTCATAAAAATACTTTTCAACAACCCAAACAACCTTGAATTTTTTCAGATTTTTTTAGTGCTTCAGGCTTTCAGATAAAATGATTTAAATTTAGAACGTTTGAACGGCCTTTTTTGCACGTTTTTCGACACACATTAGCGTCTCCAGGCGTAATAATGCTCAAACTATTATAAAAATTTACAAGGGAGTAGTTGACATGTTTAGGAAGCTTCTTAAATAGTTTTGGAAATGAAAGTCCGGATCATACTTGATTAGATTTTGTATTTTTTGTCTTTTCTTGATTATTTCTATTGTAGAAACCACCAGAGTGCTCAGATCGCGTCAGGAACCATTTTTTCTGTAAATTTGGACGATTTCCCACAAAAAAGCTCCTATAAACTTTTTCGTTTGAGTCATTCTACACTGAGCTAGAGCTTAATGAAATATTTGCCAAACAATGTGTTCATTATATTAGATATAGAAAAAAAATGTTGACCGGTTGAGTTAACAGAGAATCAGCCATATATTATATTTACAAAAAGTGCATGAACCTAATTTAAAAAATTATTTATTCAATTTTAAATAAAACATAAAAACCATATTTTATGGGTAAAACCACTCACCCAAAAAGTTTAAATATTATCGAATTGTCCATTATTACCAATCCTCGTACGTCTTAGAAAAGACGATCAATTATAATACAGCAAACGAGTTCAACAGTTCCAAATAGATAAAAAAACTTCAATTAGGCGGGATAAATAATGTTTACAAAATTACAAATCTTCAAATCAATGATGAAGGATCAAACGTTAACGGACGTTCACGAATTGGCGCGCGAAATAATTTCGATTAGACCAACCAGTGACTTCGATGAATTTCACTGTTTTGTAAACTTGTCGTATGGTATATTGGGTTAACATCGATAGTAGTACATTCGACCACATTGAATTTGAAAAGGGTACTGCTTTCTTTCCCATTCACCAACTAAAACGGTTTGGAGTACACAATTCAAAATGACTCGAGAAATAGCACATTACTGATCAATATAATAAACTATTTTTAATGGAAAATTATTTGCAGATAATATATTCTGATTATCATTTGTAAATTACTTTGTCTCAATTATAAAATAAAACTAATATTAAATACGGGATAAAGAAAAAGCTAATTAATTTATCAAATTTGCATACTTATATCCTCGTTGTGAATCCTTAAAATTCACTTTATTATATTATTTTCAAAAATAGAAAAAAAGAGAAAATGGCGTTATCATCTGACAGGAAATTGTGCTTATGGAGTCTTAAAACTTTAGCTTAAATTATTAAATAAAAAATGAACTTACATTTTGGTTGGAAACATTCTTAGTTGTGAATAAAACATTATTATCGGCAACTGCAGCCATGATTAAAAATATTTAAATTGATGAATACCCGAACGAATTAATTCGATCTTCTCTCCACGAGAGTTGAGACGAGAATTCTCTATTTCCTATACGCCAGTAAATCTGGAAGTCCCAGTCTTAGAGTACTAAGCTTGATGACATCTCATAGCCATAAATCGATATTGACGTATTTATTCTGAAAATTACTCAATCGCGTAGCCAAAATATTTAACTTGTAGGAATTTTTGAAAAAGAAAGACGCTGCTATAATATTAATAAACTTATGTATTAATTGACGTTTTACGCATTAGTTACAAAAACCTGTATTACCTCCAAATTTTATGGATAATTCATAAGAGTTACACTCATGGCTCATCTAATGAACTTGGAATAATGAATTGCATATCAATTTTATTTCATCTACTTATGTGTAACAAGGAACGTGGAATAAAATATTAGTGAATAAAATATGTTGTAATAATTTTCTCCAAATAATTTTATATAAAAAAGTTTTTAATGAAAAGAAGAATTTCGTATTCATAATATTCAAAGAGAAGAAAAATTCTTCTAAAAAATTTCAAACCCTTGAGCAAACATAAATATGAACATTTTGTTAAAATTTAAGGGTCACATACTCAAATACCAGTAGTTTTAAATAATAGATCAATAAAATATTTTCATAAAAATTGTTTGTAAATTGACCATACAGCAACTCTAGATTTATGTGATAAGAACAGTATCGCTAATGATAATAATATTAATATAATAAACGTCGATGAAATAAAATTCTACGTTCATTTATGACAGTTGATTATGTCACGTTGATGAAAGCTATGAACTAGAATTTAAGTGAGAATTAAAAGAAAAAAGTATAAAAATGCATCAATTAAAAAGTTAACAAAATGATGTTTTAAACAATTCAATGATCGAAGCATTTGTAAGCGCTTTATAAAAACGTGTTCCGTGAATGACGACAATTTTTTTAGTCGCCGTCGCTAGTGCAGCGTTTGGACATGCTCCGTATAAGTTATAGTAACCGTACACCTCACTTCTGTTGCATGTGCGTCAGGGATTGATGGGCCTCGTTCAGTCTAGTCTGTCTGTGTAGTGTGAGCAGTCACCACGCAACTCATTGGCTATCACGAACACGTGGAGTTGTATAACCTCTCAACACAGTTTACTCGTTAAAAGTGGAAATTACAAACAATTTTTCATAATGTTGTTCGAGGACATAGATCGTCGGATAAAAATTTTTATCGAGGATGGCGTTGCAAGTGGACAAAGAACAATCTTTGCCATTCTTGGTGCTGACGCCAGTGAAGCAATTGTTTACTTGAATCACTTTCTCATCAAGTCGCCGGGTTTCGAAAAGACGTGTACAAATATATTATGGTGCTGCAAAAAACATCCGGATCCACATAAGAAGCTAATAAATAATATCAAAGCTGGCAAGTTAGACACCGAATCTCTAAGTGATTCGGAATCATTCAAAGTATCATTCAAAATTCGCTATCATCAGTACAGCAGTAGCACTAAAGTATTGGGAAGTACATACGATATATGTGTGTTAGACGATTTTAACGCTCTTACACCAAATTTATTGGCAAGAACAGTGGAAACCGTTCAAAGTGGTGGAATTGTTGTGTTACTATTAAGTAGTGTAAAAAATTTGGAGCAATTCCATACAATGGATATGGATGTGCATCGTAGATTTAAGACAGAATCCCATAAAAAAATCACTCACCGATTCAATAAAAGATTTTTACTGTCCTTAACTGATTGCAAGCGGTGTCTAATTTTAGATATTGTGAAAGGAAATGAGAAGAAGAAATTACAGTTGTTGTCGGAAACTTCTCACAACATTTCTAAAAAACCAAGTAAACCATTAATTCCTGATACATCAGAACTAGATATGCTTAAACAAAGTTTAGAAGATACTCCATCTGTTGGTTCTATTGTCAAATGTTGCAAAACAGTGGATCAAGCTAAAGCTTTGCTAAAACTCATTGAAGTTATCTCTGAAAAAACATTCAAATCAACAATATCTTTGACGGCTGCCAGAGGACGTGGTAAATCAGCTACTTTAGGCTTAGCTATTGCTGGTTCAATAGCATTTGGGTATTCAAATATTTTCATTACGAGTCCAGGTCCAGAAAACCTCAAAACTGTTTTTGAATTTATTTTCAAAGGTTTTGAAGCATTAAATTATCAAGAAAATAGGGATTACAAATTCATCCAATCAACAAATCCAGAATTTGATAATGCTATTATTAGAGTTGATGTGTTTAGAGAACATAGACAATCAATTCAGTATATACATCCTATGGATGCAAAAGGTAAACTAACCATGGCTGAATTGTTAGTGATTGATGAAGCAGCTGCTATTCCATTGCCTCAAGTAAAAGCCATGCTGGGGCCTTACTTGATTTTTATGGCTTCAACCATTAATGGATATGAGGGCACGGGTCGTTCTTTAACTCTAAAACTCATTCAACAACTTCGTAATCAAACAATTCAAATTAATTCTGATAACAGAGCTAAACTCATGACTGGCAGGAGTTTGATTGAACTTAATTTAGAGGAACCAATTAGATACAAATCTGGAGACATGATTGAAAAATGGTTGTACGATTTGTTATGTTTGGATAGTATTTCAGCTGCACCTAAGATCTCTTCCGGATGCCCTAAACCAGATGATTGTCAACTCTATTACGTCAATAGAGATACTTTGTTTTCATATCACAAAGCATCAGAACATTTCCTGCAGAGAATGATAGCATTATGTGTTTCTTCCCATTATAAAAATAGTCCAAATGATTTACAGATGTTAGCAGATGCCCCGGCTCACCATTTATTCTGTCTATTAGGGCCAATTGAACCTAATCAAAAAAGTCTTCCAGAAATTTTAGTAGTGATTCAGGTAAATATTGCAAATATACTTTATTCAACTGTTAAAAAATATCAACAGGGTTATTAAATTTAATGCTTCATTTACAGGTTTGTTTAGAAGGAAACATTGGAAAAAATACAATTATGAACGGATTGGGAAGAGGTCAAAGAGCTGACGGAGATCTTATTCCATGGAAAGTAGCAGAGCAATTTCAAAATTTTGAATTTCCGCAACTAAGTGGAGCCAGAATAGTTCGCATTGCTACACATCCTGACTATCAAAAGATGGGATATGGTAGTAAGGCTGTGGAACTTCTAAGATATTATTACAAAATGTCATTTCTAAATTTAGACATTGATGACGAAAAAGAATCTGAGGTTCAGAAAACAAAGGACAGTAAAAATTCATTACCACCCTTGCTATCAAAGTTATCTGAACGTACACCAGAGCCTGTGGCTTACTTAGGAGTTTCTTTTGGAGTAACAGAGCCATTGATTAAGTTTTGGAAGCGTGCAAAATTTGTTCCTATTTATTTGAGACAAACAGCTAATGATATCACTGGAGAACATACTTGCATAATGTTATCGAATCTACAAGAGGAATCTAACAACTGGCTTGATGTCTTTTGGAAAAGTTTTCGTCGTAGATTCCTGATCTTATTAGCTTCAGCTTTCAGAGATTACCCTCCATCACTTGCTCTTTTAATATTAACCAATCATAATATTGATACAGAGAGTAAAACTTTAGAAAGATTTGTGGTAGATTCATATTTTACCCCATACGACATTCAACGATTGGAAAAATATGGAAATAATAAGGTTGATTATCATTTAATCATGGATCTAGTACCATCAATAGCACATCTGCACTTTTTAAACCTAATGGGAAATTTTGACTTCATTCAAGAACAGTGGTCTATTCTTCTATGTCTAGGGCTGCAATTTAAAACTATTGATCAAATAGCTGCTAACTCAAAACAAGGTGCAGGTCAAATTCTTGGATTATTTAATCGTATCATAATGAAAAGTACCAAATACTTGACGAACATAATTAGTGAAGATGTAAGCAGTAAAATTAAAGAATTGAATGTCAAGAATGATACTTTCCAAGTTAATGTTCAAAATGGCACAGATATGTATCGTGAGTTAGACATGGCCGATGAGGCATTGAAAAAGAAGCAAAAAGCAGAGCTTAAAAAATTGGAATCAGAAGCTTTGCAAGAATATGCTATCAAAGGTAGCGACAAGGATTGGTCAAATGCTTTAAACTCGAGTAAGGGTAGTAAAAATTTGTTATCCGTTAAAAGTTCTGAAGAACCTGTTGTAAGTGAAGAAAAATCAAAATATTCTACCCCAGACAAAAATTTATTTAAAAAAAAAAAAGGAAAAAAACGAAACCATAGCTCTGCATAAAAATTTTTTTCAGTTTCATACTGCAGGAACCATACTTATATTTTAGTTAATTTTTATAATTGTAAATATTGTTATATATTGCTGTAAATATACAACTTTTTATAATAATTTTTTAAATGCTTATTATTGCAATTTTTTTACAAAACCTTATAAAAATATAACTATGTAATCGTAACATGTACAAATTGTATCTCAAGTAAAAGAATCTTCTTTTTCTGAATAACCAACAATAGAAGCTGGAATATTCAATGTTTCTAAGACATTTGAGATACTGCAAGATTGACCATTTCTTTCTGTAAGTTCAAAGCAAAGAGTTTCCAAAGCTGTTTGACATGCTGATTTCCATGTGCTTATAGAAATTTTCAACTCCTTTGGATTGTTCTGAAAAATTTTTAAGAGAAAAATCACATAAGTGTAAAACAAATATAAAAATAAATAAATAAATAAAAATATTCAACCTTTTTCGTGCATCTTTCTCGAGATTTCAAGCGATCTAACTCTTGTCGCATTTCGAAAATTTTTCTCTTTAACATTTGTAAATCTCTTTTAGTGAGATCATGTTCGGGAATTTGAACAATCGATTGACTTTCCAATTTAATATCATTCAATTTCCTTTTTTTACATTCTTTGATGGAATCATCCAACAGTAAAACTCTTTTGGCTTCAATTTTTCTAATCATCAGAATGAGTGAATTGTTTACATTATTGACATTTCAAATAATCGGTCGAAAAAATTGTAAAAAAAGATGTGAAAAATCTTTACTTGTTAGGAATAGACTTGGTACACGAGTTCCTCTTAACATCACTATCAGCGTTCACCAACGGCGATTCAAATGGAGATTTGAATGGTTTGTTTACACCTTTGCTGTTCTTTAACGGTGTTCGGAGCATCTTGTTTAGCACCGTAAAATATTCAAAATTCGGCTTCAAAATGTCAAAACACTACACTTAGCCTCTATTCAAATGCAACAACTTGCCCAAGTGTAAGCCGTGTAAATGTCTACGTAATGATTGAACAGCGAAGCGGTACAAGCACGTGCATGCAAAGAAAAAGAGAGAGAGAGGAGAGCCACAAGCGATTAATTGACAGGTCGTTGGCCAACAGCTGATCACGAAATCTAACCTAATAAACTTCTCAGACGAAAATAACACATAACTATAAAGTAATTACATAAAAATCTTGAATCGTTGACATTTGACAATCTTAGCAGCAGCTATAAACAACAAATCGTGGTGTAATTGATTGGCACCTGTTGTTATTGATCGTATCAGTTTTTGAGACCAAAGTAATAATTAACAAAAAGCCAGTATGACCAAAATTGATTTATCTCTTTTTGCGAAAAAGTTCCGAGGCTCGTTTTTGGGAGTTTTAACTGGAGACTGTTTGGGCAGTCCTTATGAAAATGAAAAGTTGACCTCAGGTATGCGGCTAGTTTTGCAAAAGTCGTTTGACACAATGGAAGGACCAGTTTATAAAGGTACATCGCTAGTTCTTTCTGTCTTTCGATCCTGAAATCTTCTATACTACTATCAACCTCGTTTATTTTTTTTCTTTTCATTTAAATTAATAATTTCAATGGTTTATTATTTTGTGTCTCAATGATTAGCTCCAGTTATTCAGTATACTGACGATTCAGCGATGACAAAGTCCGTTGCCGAATCTTTAATTGAAAAAAAAGATCTTGATTTGAAGGATCTGGCGATGAAATTCGTCAAAAGTTACTATCTAGAACCTAATAGAGGATATGGTTCAGGTGTTGTAACAGTATGTATCTTAAACCAGGGCTTTTATACCAGTTTTTTTTTACATATCGTCACTGTGCAATTATATTAGACTCGATAGAATTATTTAACATGAAGTCAAAATTTCTAAATATCAATTTATGAATGAGAATCGTATGATGTGTTTAGGTTTTTCAAAAACTTCGAGGATCGAAATTTGCCGATGTCCTTCTTCCTGCTAAGGAACAATTCAACGGAGGAGGATCATTCGGAAATGGAGCCGCAATGAGAGTTGCGCCAATTTCTATGTTTTGCTATAAAAATTACGATAAATTAATTGAGTTGGCCAAAAAACAATCTTTACTCACGCACACGCATAAGATCGGCGTTGACGGAGCAATTTTGCAAGTAAAACCCACCTTCAGTCATTTTTAAAAAGCTGAAAAATTTCATTTTATATATTTCAGTAAATAATTTAGATTTATTAAAAATTTATAAAACTTATGACAATATTTTTAACTTGAAATTCAATAGATTTTATATTTGTTAGTTATTTTAAATATATTTTTAAGCATCAATTCAAATATTTTTAGGCAATGGCCATTCAACAAAGTTTACATATTCATCCTGAAGAACAGTTCAATGTTATTGAATTTGTTGATCAACTGTTAAACAAAATGAAATTTGTCGAAATTGATGAAGAAGGGTATAAAAATGATATATATTTATTGATTTTCTGTTAAAATCTAGTATTTCAATTGTGTATTTTATTAGTTTGGATTTAATTGAAGCACAACCTTATACAGCCCAATTGAAACTGGTAAAAAATTTGCTACTGGAAGAAGGTGATGACAATCCTACTCATCAAAAAGTTATCAAACTCTTGGGTAATGACATAAGTGGTTTAAGATCTGTTCCAACTGCTATATTTTGCTTTTTACGAGCTCAAAAGCCAATATCTGGAATAAATACAGATAATCCCTACAGAAGGGCACTTCAATATGCAGTATGTAGTCAAGTAAAGCTGAAATTGTTATCAAATTGGAAATATAAGTTAATTTAAACTAATTTAAATGTTCAGATAAGTTTAGGAGGAGATGCAGATACTATTGGAAGTATGACTGGTGCCATAGCTGGAGCATTATATGGAATTGATAAAATACCACCAAATATAATTCATCATTGTGAAGCTTCCGATGAATTTTGTCAATTAGCTGACAATTTACTTGATACTGCAAATGGATTGCAATGGAATTTGTAAAATTCAAATAAACATAATAAACTATGTAAATAATTTGCGAATCAAGACTGAAAGAATAATTTTTTAATATGTACATTATGTTGTTAAATAATCTGAACAAATATTGTATAAAAATATTAACATCAATAAAATATTATGGAATAGTTACAAAATTAAACATTCATACATTTTAAATTGATTAATTATTAGCAGTGAATGCAAAATGAAATTTTGAAAAAGATTCCGATCTCTAATATATATAATCAATTTCTTATTCCGCGATTATTTTACGCATAAATGATTAAACCTGGAATCTCGTTACATTACAGTAGAGTCGATTGCAGAGAAACACTTCGCATTTCGTAGTCTTGAGTAGCCAATACCAAATACGCTGGACGTTGATTCGCAGATTCGCGTACGGTTTACTTGTTTTTAGTTGTCATACGTGGATGGCATGCGTATGTATGAGTATATACATAAGCACATATGTGATTGGTACACAGTAAACTTGAGAGCTATTCATAGTGAGTTGCAATTTTTTTTTTTTTACACGATTGAAAGCAACTGAGTATTTAATTGTAATACACTTGTTGATGTGCTCTTGATTAAAGTTATTCACGTAATATGATTAATACGGGGTATGTATTTTTATTTATAAAATGTAAATGCTGATTCAAAGGTATGTACCGACTAGTTAACGATAATATTCAATTATTGTAGGAAATTAGCTGGTTGCACAGTATTTATTACTGGAGCATCGCGAGGCATCGGTAAATCAATTGCTTTGAAAGCAGCCCAAGATGGAGCGAATATTGTTTTAGCTGCTAAAACTGCTGAACCGCATCCTAAACTTCCCGGTACCATTTATTCTGCCGCAGAAGAAAGTAAAAATTTTATTTCGTACCAGAAAAATCGAGAAAGCCATTCGTTACCTTACCAATAACATTGTTTTTAGTTGAAAAAGCTGGTGGCAAGGCTTTACCTTGCATTGTTGATGTTAGGGATGAAAATCAAGTTGCTACTGCCGTTAAGAGTGCAGTAGAAAAATTTGGAGGGATTGATATTTTGGTTAATAATGCAAGTGCAATTTCACTAACCAGTACATTGAGTACAGAAATGAAGAGATATGATTTAATGAACAGCATAAATGCAAGAGGAACCTTTCTAGTGTAAGTTGAGACACTTTTCTATTTAGATTGTCTTATTTTTTAAAATAATTCAACTTCCACAGATCCAAATTGTGTCTACCACATCTTTTGAAAAGTAAAAATCCTCATATAATAAATTTAAGTCCACCACTTAATATGCACCCATTTTGGTTCAAAAATCATCTTGCTTACACCATGGCTAAATATGGTATGTCCATGTGCGTTCTTGGTATGGCAGAAGAATTTAAAGAGCAAGGTGTAGCTGTTAATGCTTTATGGCCCAAAACTGGTAAAAAAGAGATATTTTCAAGTTTATAAAAACAACAAGCATTGGACAAATTTAAAAATTTTTTTTTTTAATTATAGCCATTCACACTGCTGCTATAGAAATGCTAGCTGGGGCAGAATCTGCCAAGACTAGTCGCAAACCTGATATTGTAGCTGATGCTGCATATGCTATTATGATAAAAGATAGTAAATCTATCTCGGGTAATTTCTTTATAGATGAAGATGTGCTAAAAAAAGAAGGAATTTCAGATATGAAGCAGTATGCATGTGATCCAGGTAAAATAATAAATTCCTTCATTTTTATTTTCATACACTTTCTAATAATTAGTACTTTTATTTTAATACTTACTTGATTTTTCATGTTTTAGCCAATGTTGATAATTTGATGTTAGATTTCTTTGTGGATCTTGACAATGTGGATATGAGAATTGTTGGTGGATCCATAGAAGAACCAAAAAAAACAGGTCAAGGACAAATTGCATCTATATTTGCTGCCATTGACAAAAATATTAATCCAGATCTTGTGAAAAAAACTGATGCAGTTTTTCAATTTGTTGTCAAAGGTAGTGTTCTTTGTCAGAAAAAATTTTAAATTAAAAATAATTTTCGTTGAATTCAAGACAATAATTTGGTTTTGGTATCTAGGAGATGAAGCTGGGACATGGTACTTGGACTTGAAAAATGGTTCAGGCTCAACTGGAAAAGGTGAACCACCTAAACCTGCAGATGCAACATTGACTATGGATTCTGGCAACTTTTTTGCGATGTTTTCAGGTATGGAATCGAATAATAATAGATTTTTTTCCATAAATAAATTTATTTTAATTGTTTAGGTAAACTGAAACCAGCAACAGCTTTTATGATGGGAAAACTAAAAGTTAGTGGCAATGTTCAAAAAGCCATGAAACTTGAGAAGCTTATGGTTAGTTTGAAATCTAAGCTCTGAATTTATTAGAGCTAAGCAAAAAAATGTATCAGATAATCTGTTTAAAGATTGATTTTGAAAATCAAATTATTCTAAATACATTGTTGAGATTTTATTTTTAATGATGCAGGGCTTTGGCAATAAGAACACGACTTAAACAAGTCAATTTTGAAGGATTTATTTTTATGTAAAATTTTTATAATACATAAATAAATTATTTTATACAAACTTCATGTTATTTTGTATATTTACATCAATAATATAAGTCCTCACACACTCAGAATTGAATACAATAAAGGGATTGAGTTTTACTCAACTTGTGCAACACTGTACTCATTTTAAAAGTATAAACATTTTAAATTAGCTTGAATTGAATGTAAAATTTAAAAAAATTGCGTTTAAAATGATTAATACTTACTTAAATTGTAAGTGTACATTTATATATTTATCCAAATGATAATTAGGCAATAATCTTTGGCAATAAAACTTTGGACTTTTCATTAACTCCAAAAAAAATAAATCCCCCAATGGATATCCAAGTAACTCTTGGAGCAATCCCAGCAAATAAACTAAAAAAGTTATTGAACATTTAAAATTAATTTAGGTAAAAGATAAAAATTATTTGCTTGCAAACTATACATACCCTTTGAAGCCATTAGATTTGTAAATAGTTTTCAGCATACTTGCAACTGATAATCTGGAAACAGAAGATTCTTTTGATAACATTATTCTTGTTTTTGCTACATCTAAAGGAGTTGTTACAGCTGCAGCAATACTTCCAGCAATTGCTCCACATAAAGCTCCTTCTATTGGTAAAACAGCTCTCTCAATATAATCTGACCATGATTTTTTTAAAAACTCATATATTGGAAATTGAATGAGACTGAAAGGCATATCACGTAAAACTGTACTCCAATATCCTCTATACAGCAATCTTATGGTGTAGCCTTTCTGATCATTAAGTAAAGCTTGCTTTCTCTGTTTCAACACTTCAACAGGAACTCTTATAAAGCATGATATCTTCAAAGTAAAAAAAAAAGGTATTGTGTGGAACATGTAAATTTAATTTTGGGCTCAATAAAATATTTAATTACTTACAGCCTCTGCAAAAACAGCAGCACCCATATTAACAAAAGGTGTATAATTTGAAGACACTTTAGGATATACAAATGTCTTCACGCTATCATAAGTAACAAAAAACAAAGCAGCTAAAAAAGTTATAAAACTTTCATTATCAGTTATTTTAAATAAAAGTTTGATTTTTTAATTACCTGTGGGAGCTGAGCCTAATATAACTGGTGTCAAACCTTTATAAAGATTTGAAAACCCACCAGATTTTAAAAATCCATGTTGACTCTGCAAGCGAGTTTTAAGTGTATCTATGGGATAGAGAATAGTGTCAACAAATGTACCAGCCAAACCTCCTGACTGAAATAAATTAAACAGTTTATTTACTATTTCAATAGTCGATTGTTATTATAGTTCATAAAATATATTAGTATTATTTTTGTAACTTTAGGTTACTTTCAAAGTATTGTTTCACTCACTATAAGAGATATTAACAAGAGTCTCTTGGTATCCAAAAGTGACTGTTTTTGCACATCTACTTCCATCTTGCACGATTGGAAGATTTTTTAAGGTGTGGGATTGCAAAATTAAGTTAATTTACGCATTATTTCACTGTACACAGTTATTACTACGGTTCATGGTTACAAATTATTTGAGCATTTCAAATACTATCGCAATTCTTAAATACTACGGTTACAAAGAAATTTCATTTATCGACACTATTTACTTCTTCTTACGAATCACTCAAATGTTATAAGGTATTTCAACTAAAGTTTCTACTTTTAATAAAAATAATGATTGTTGGGATGAAAATAACGGTTCAGTTATTTAAACAGTCCAAGGTAAACCAAACAACGACCTATATCTAGTTATTAGTTTTTTAACTTTTGAATATCTGGGAAAATTAATGATTACAAGTAGTTATTATATCATTGCATAGCTAATTAAAAGTTCAATCAATTAAAAATATAAAAAGACTCATTTTAATATCGTCAATCCTTCATTATATTGAAGTACACATCCTAAAAAGTTCTGGTTTTTCTCAAAATCTTTCCTGAAAAAAAAAATGATATAGATCAATTCTAAATACTAAAAAATCGAACTGTAATGTCTAAAAGTTCGTTTTTTTGGCAAAAAGTTTCTCCTTAAATACAGAATTTTTCAAACATCTATTAAATACTAAAGTTTTACGTGTACTCAAAAAATCGGGCTATCTGACATTTTTACTCAACCCATCGGGTTCGAATCGAGTCGATGCGCCTGCAGTTTTTGGGCTGAACCGAGTTTTTCATTTGCTTAGTTCAACCAGCAAGTTTTTCGCTTTGGCTTTAACTCCGTATTTGAAAGTGTATTTGTAAAAAAATTTTATCCCAACTGAAGACTTTACCTATGGATGATGCCGAATGAACGCAGTTGAATGGCAAAAAGCTGACAAATGGTATTGAAAACTGGATAACATCACTATCGCTTTAAGAGCTTGCCTGTTAAGTTTTATAATGCAATTTTCAAATTGATTATAGTCAAAAATTGTCGGGCTAACCAGAATTAATCGGGATTAGGAAATTCGGGTCAGCCCGAACCCGACTCAAATCCAAGCAAAGACCCTGACCTGATTCAATATTTTCGGGCACCCGCACGTCCCTGTTAAAAACCAACTCTTGATTTTTTTGTAAGAAGATGTATTTTTTCAAAGTTTTTATAAAATAATGTTTTTTGATAGAAATTTTTTTGTGTGAATAATAATTTATCAATTCATTAATGAAATGTGAATCTAAAACACCATATCTCTTAGCATATACTTGAATAGTAATAACATTACAACTTGATTACGTTTGATTAAATTGTAATATTTTCTAATCTTTGAATTTGTATTACATTTCCAACAAATATACAATTCTTTCTTTCCCAAAATTTCTTACCAAAATCCTAAAAACTGAGCGAGTGTAAACAAGCGAGGTATAGTGCTAGCTATTACATTTAAAAGGGGATTTAAGAACTCATATACCTTGTAATCGAAATAAATTTTTATTGAATTTTCGGAGTGTTTTTCCTTTCCTTTCTAAAGAATTTTTCCAAATTTCAGAAATGTCTATTTTTACTGAGATACAGTCCTTTCCCTGAGCATTTTTTGTACAGGGTAAAATGACAAGTTATAGGTGACCTAAGAAAAATTTTAACTTTGCTTACTTATAGAAATCGTGCATAACATCAAAAACGTTTTTTAAAAGCACCCTCTGAAAGCAAAAAAGTTAATGGACCACCCTATTGAGCCATCCACGACTCGGTCAAATTTTTACAAGAACTGAACATATAAAAATGAATAATTAAATAAATATTATTAAAGATTTTTAGTGGTGATCCATAACTAGGTGGACAATTTTACCGGATCGCCTAGTTGAGGGCCAGGGTATAGTTATAAATCGTATAAAAAATCAACCGGTTATAAGTGGAGTTATACATTTTTTTCTGAAAGAAAAATATTAATAGAAATGTGAAAAAAAATTATTGCATCAAAATGAAATTTTTATTAATTTAAAATATAGCTCAAGGTTGCCCATAACTCGGAACATAACTAGCTACTTCACCTTACTTCGTGCAATAAATTCTTTTTTTTGCGTTTTCTGGCGTTTCATATTTTTCAAAAATGCACTTCACACCTGAAAATTACAATATTCTCGAAGTGATACTTCCTTTTTGTTGATTATTAGTACGAATCATAAGGATAGAAAGTTTATTGAAATTAAATTTATTTTTTCTCAATGCTGATCAAATATTATAAATTAGATATACACTCATACGTTTTCAATCGATAAGTATTTATTGATCAAGCGGCCATTCACTGGTGGGTTTACCTTTGGGTCAAGATCTACGTATTCACATTAAAATTTGCAGATTCTGAAAGTTATGCATGTCGAAACACCGACTCAATCATTTATTACGAAGAGATGTAACAGAACTCTAGACAAAATGTCTAAGTTTATTGAACCGCAGATCAATGTAAGTTTCACATCTAGGGCGAGTATACGCCCCGCGAAGTAAAAGTCACAGGGTGCATATTAATATAGTCGACGCTCACCAGCCGGCCGGCTTTCCATCGATGGAAAGAGCGGAGTGCAAACATTGTGAATTGCACTTGAAGCGTCCGCTCAACCACGACTCACGAGTCACGAGCCTACGGCCTCTGTAGCTGCCATTCGCGCTACCGGCACAGTCGTGCTATTCCTTCTCCTAAATGGTCCTATCTTCAAGAGCCGCATACGCCGCCGAGGGGCGTCGTAGATATTTGTAGTTTAGTGCGCGTAAATATGCCAAATGCTACATGGGCCTATATAATAACAGTGGCTACCTATACAACCTACGAGAGCGCATGCCCTGTGTAAGCGTAAATACATATAGGCGTGCAGCCACCAACTAAATTGCACGAGTAATGTGATTACTTATACGGATCTATACGAACCGCGACTACTCAAGTATACTACGAAACAAGCTCAATAATAAACGGTTGCTGTAATATAAGCAAATACGGCTAAGCGCATCGATTCACCGATCAATTTGATAAACCCTAAACATTGCCTATATTATCCAATGCACGTTTACTTGCATTGGATGAACCGATGAAAAGATTTCGCGGTCTAAACGGATGCCCAGCGCAAAACAGTCAGCACAGCCAAACAAGTCAGCTACGCTGTGGCCTTATAAGCCCCAGGGGGGGAGAAACCAGGATATAGAATATACATACACCTCTACATATATACTTATTACATACTAATAATAATACAAGGGAGTCGGGTTAATATATATACATGCTATATAGGTATGAAGCAACAACGACGACGAGCAACGGATTCGCGAGTGTCGGCGGCAGCGAATACTTTTATACGGACGAGGTAGATTCGCGCGCGCGACTACTAGGTAGACGGCGGCGACGAAGGGGTGGTAAAGCTTGACGCGCGCGCAAGAGAGAGAGAGGGCAAAAGGGGGCCGTAAAAACAGCCAAAGACCAAAGTTCTGTAGCCCGAAGGGGGGAAACACGGCCGACGACGCTTCGATTGCTGCCCGCAATTGGCGCTTGCTCGCGCGCAAAACAGAAAGAACAGAGAATCGCTCTTGCGTCCGTGTGAGCGCGAGTACGCTTGTGTATGGCCGAGTGTGTGCTTGTGTGCGAATGTAGTTCGCGCACTACTCAGCAGGTCTGCACGGAGCGACATCGCCGGTAGATTCCCTATACGTGAGCGAGAAAGAGAAAGAAACATCGGCAGCAGCAACGACGGCGCTGAAACATCCAACTGTAGAGCGTACAATAGGCCCGTGGCCAGCGTTCAACACTACAGCACTTATATATATACACAGAGTTGTACACAGACGTCAGTTGCAGTTCTGAGCGTCGCTCAAGCCGTGTGCAAGCCAATATCCTCGACGCACGAGATTGTCGAGAGAACGAGGAAACGAAAGACGAAGAGAGCGAAAGAGAGAGAGAGTGAATTTTAGGAGACGAACCGCCGTCGATAGTGTGAGCAAATAAGTCGAAAACTGCCGAGTTTTGCTGCGAGCCACAGTACCCGGTTACGCCACGACCATAAAACTACCTTTACTTGTGAGTACACTTGATTCATTTTTTCCATTCTCGCGTTCTTTTTTGCTCAAATTCTCGTTCATCTCGTTTTTTTTTTTTTTTGAGAAACGCCATCGCGAGCCCCCCGACTCCCCGGTAGTACCCAGTAGCTACTCGAACGCAGAACGACGCTCGTGAAGATTCGTCCCTTCACGACGACTCTAGCCACCTCTATCCGTTGAGATGACGCGCGCAAGCTCTCGGCCTACAGCGACTCGCTACCTTCGTGCAGGGTAGCGAGTACCAACGAGTTTCTTGGCATTTCGAGATCATCAGAAGAGCCATGGCCGCTTAGGCTGCTGGCACACGGCACTTGTTGTTTACTATTGATGCCGGACGCACAGTCTACGGCGCACTAGAGCTTTCGCAGGCCGAGCATGAGCATCGTCTCGCCGCCCGCGCTCCCCTCATATTTATCGAAAAAGATAATATCGGCTTTTCGCGCATACAGAAATGTCTTTGAGCACGCGGCTCCACGAGTCTTTTTTTATTTTCGTCGGAAACGCTCTCCCGCGCAAAAATTATACGCGCGGCAGGCACAACAGAAGGTATGGTGGTGCGTCGCGACCACCGCTCTCGCAGTCGGCCGGCACTGCAGCGATACCTACAGAGACGCTTCGTAGCACGCACATATTCGCGCACGCAGAACATCGGTGTACACGTTACGATATACGCGTTACGCATATTGCACTTGAATGTGCGTATTTTATTGGATAGTCCAGTGGACCCGCTCTGATCATCGCTATCCGGCGCACATCCCTGTAAACATTCCAAAAGTTCCTCATCGAAATTACAATTTTTCAAGGATACTACTATTTTAAGGATTTTTATTTTTAGAATTTAAAATTTCTTCGAAAAAATTGATAACTTTTGTTTATGGATTCCCCTTCTCCTGCCGGGCCCTATAGATAGGCCCCCCGTCACTGTTAGTGCCGAAAGGGACGCCGGCGTGCGTAGTTCTGCAGACAAGGCTCTAAACCGTTCTTTTCGCGGCTGGTACCACCCATTACACGTTCACTCTACACATAACAATGGCGTATTACAAAACTAAAGAGAAAGAGTGGCAGCAGGAGCGTCGTCCCGCGCGTTCGAAAGGGCGGGAAAGGTTTGTTGCTGTAACTCGACCGACACTGCACTGCTCTCCTATATTTGCGGTGAAAAGGCAAAACACGACTCAAGTCCATTTTTCAGAAAATTAATCTTATAATGAAAAGCACTCAAGTAGTGTCTACTTAAAGCCAAAAGATTCAAAATGAACGAGTGAATCGTTAAATCAGCGCATAATGCATACTGACTTGAGCCCATTTCACAAGAATTGGGACGGCTCAGTGATAGTGAGTTCAAAATGCAATAGGAAGTTTTTTTTTATTTGGAATCGAATCATCATTGAAATCATATTCAAATGTATGCATAACTGATGCGCTTATAAAGTATTATAAATTTTTTTTTAACGGCTGACAAATTTACACGCGAAGACCAACTTTTATTATTTTCAATTCAGCCGTTTTTCGATCTAAGATCTGAAATCTGACGCCACTATAACGCAATATGAGCAATTTTAGTAAAGTACCATTAATAAACGATGTTATTATCACAAACTAAACGAAATTATTTATATTAAAATAAAAGTGCCCGGCAAAAAATGGGCTTGAGTGTTAGCCGTGAAAAGACAAAACCACAAAAGCTCAATTCTTTTTCTCCGTATATTAATCATTATGATGCGTCTTTAAATTTTATAAGAGCATCGGTCAAAAGCTACCTAATAGTAGCCTAAAATATAGTTCACAAATTTCAAGTCCTTCGCGTCTAGTTAGACACTTGCATAAAGCAACTTATTAAAACGCGTTTTTGTCATGTGTAGGAATTTAGAAGCAGAATATCGTCCTTGTTAATGCTTGCCAGTGCTCAATCTCCATCTTCCTTATAGGCATCTCATGTATGGCCAGTTTTTTCTCTTTATTCCCTCAAGATTTTTTTATTCTTATTACATGCTTACTATTCTTTGTTTTAAAATCCTTGAGCAAGCTGCAATATACTTTTGTTTGATTACTAATTTAATTTTTATTTGAGTTTGTCCCAATGTGACCTTTGTTTTGATTTAATTTTTGAACTATCGATTTTTTTCTTGAGCTGATTATCAAATATTTTTGTTTCAGACTTCGCTTTTGCATATAAAATATGTCGGACGACAATTCTCCCGTGGTTGAGGAGCCCAAGAAGAAGCGCGGAAGGCCTGGCAAAGCTGACAAAGCCAGCAGTCCTGCCAAGGACGCCAAAAAACGAGGCAGACCAGCTGCTGAGAAAAATAATTCGGCAAAAAAGTCCGACACTGAAGATGATGCACCCGCAGTGCCAGCCAAGAGAGGGCGTGGACGACCTAAATCTACCCACAAAAAGAAGGTACGCTTTATTCATAAATATTACACAAATGAGTATAACTTTTCCCATGTTGCTCTATCTTCATTCATGTTGATTTTACTTACAGCCGGCTGCAGTAAAATCTACTGGCCGAGGTCGTGGTCGACCGAAGAAAGTAGAAGAGAAGCCTGAAAGTACAGGCGAAGAAGAAGATGAACAAGAAGAGGAAGAAGAAGAAGAAGAAAACTGAATATGAAAAATTATTTAAAAATTATAATTTTCACTTCGATTTTCTCTCTCCTCTAATTTATATAATTAATCAACAATTGATTGCTCTAATAATTTTTTAAGACTCATGTACTCACAGTGCCCAATTTCAAGTTATGTAAGTTTGTAATCAATTCAATCTCCTGAACTTTTTTTTTTCTCAATACATCTAGACGTTTTTTAATTATATAATTCGGTAGCACACTAAACCAATAAAAAAATAAAGATATCAGATGCATGAATAAATTGACCTCACCATTAAAAGTATATTCCATGAAATCATATAAAAATAACATGATTCATCTTGAGAACTGTGTTATGATTATGTTCAATCAGAAGCATTTAAAAATTGTGTGTCTTATTTATAATGAGATGTAGTTCATTGAGATTTTTTTTAAATCTTTATACTCTTTTTTTTTTGTTTTCTGTACTTTATCTTATGTTTTTAGCATTGTCTTGACTAATGTGCAAAACTAACCAAGTCAAGTTTTAAATATTAAGACTAAATCAATATTGTAAAAGGTGACAAAAAAGAAAGTTACTTTCTTTGATAAATATCTCCAAAAAAACCATATATAATACTAAAATAGCTTGTTTGAGTATCAAATTTGTATTAAAGTAAATAAATTCTTCAAAAAACAAAAAAAAACAATAATTGGATTTTTGTTTAATCCTACTGCATCATTAAACTTCAAATTATGTTTCTATTTTTCAACAAAAAACTTCATTTTCATTGGTTATCATGCATAGTCAAATAAAGTATACATCATTTTTTTTTAAGATAAAAACATCTATCTAATTTGATAAGAAAATTGACTAGTATTTATAAACATTTCAATTAACGTCTGTTGTTACAATTAGCCTAGAGATTACAGCTAATTTCAGCAGCCATTACATTACTAAGCTAGTATACTTATATGTATATACACAAGAATCTTACATATTAACATAACAATATAAAAAGACATTAAAAATTTTGGAAAGCTTGTTTCAGAATTTACCTAATATAGTAATTACTGGAATGACTCAACCAAAAATATTTCAGGCGTAAAGATTGTCACATTCTCAGTATTTAGTCAAATTAAATCTTTTAATAGATTATGCTTAATTACTTGAAGCTTTCTTAAGTTATATTATTTCACATTTTTGAAAGAATCATTAGTATTCAGGTGAAAAAATAGCATTAGCTGATAATATTTATCCAAAACTGCTTTGAGAGTGTACAGGAGTAAAAAGCTCTACATTTTCTTCATCATCCATGGTTTGGTATCCTGGCTGCACACAATTAAGTCCATGTTATTTAGAAAGTGTATGCTCAAGTTGTTAAAGAATTACTAACTCGTCTTTGACGACTGTTGAAGCCTTCATCCAATAATTCTGTTTCCCAATCGTCTTCACCTTCTTCTCCAGGATCAAAATTATAGAGTGGCATAAGTCTGTGTCGAAGTCGTTCTAATTTGCGCTTTCTTGATATGATTAGTACCTAAGTAAAAGAACAAATGTAAAAAAGTTGAAACTCTGAACAAATACAATTATTGAATTTTATCCAAAATTTATATATTTACCGCAGCAGATAAAATAATGACAAATATCATTACTCCAACAGGTACAAAAATGTACTCTATTCCATCGGGAGGACCAAAATTATCAAAAGGATATTCAGTACTCGTAGCAGGTACAGTAGTGCAAAGACTAACATTAGTGGTACTAGTATCTATTTTTTCAAGAGTATCATTAATTTTACTCAAGTTCAAAGTGCTTGGCATCAAATGATCAATGTTCCTTTGGGTACTGATTTCTACTGTTTGATTCAAGAGAAAGATCTCTGTGCTGTTTTCATCTGCTGTAGTACTACTGACATTGTTGAAAAATATATTAGTACTGTTGTCATTAATTTCATGAAGTTCCATGATTCAACTAAAATCATATAGAATCAGTAAAAGTAAAAGTTAATTAACAGTTATCATGATTTACAAATAAAACTCACTTTAGCTAGAAGGGTGCGTAATAATTGATGTAATTTCACAATTATCAGATAACTTATACCAGTGCTATCAAGAGACAATCAGAACATTTTTTATCTTTGCCAAAGTCGTCGTTGAGGGCTAACGTGTTGAAAAGTAGTGATGGCACATTTCTAAAATTCACATGTTATTGTGTAAAAAGCCCGAAGAGCAGCATTGCTAGCGGCAACGCTTTAAGTATAAGGTCTTGGCTTCCAGAATCCAAAGCAGCAATGATAACTAAATAGCGTTGCACATCAGGTGGCATTATAGGTAAAGAGGGGTTTATCTTGTCCAATTGCTACTCGTCAATCTTTGCGTAAAAAAAATAACGATAAGACAATAATCAAGCCGTATTTAAGAGGTAGGCGAACAGTTCACGCGGAGCTGTCAATGCTTTGAATAGTGGATATAGAGCTGTGCCATGTATGGAGAGCGCATGAAACAACAACGCGTCAACTACTCAACTCGAGTACGACTGACGGTAGTAGCTGCCTAGTAGCTGCAGCAGAAGTATAGCAGAACGCGCATTTTTACGCAGCAGCAACAACGTCTACTGACGGGAGGTGCTCGGGTAAATCGAGTCTCAACTCTCAAGTGTGAAGTGACAGCAGCTCCGCAAAGGCTTGCGCGCTGCGACAAATTGCGATATGTGTCGTTGCACACTACACAAGCTATCCGGCTTCGACTTATTGACTCGCTGGTTCAGCAAAATTAGCCTGTAAATTGCATTTTTTGCACTTATCTCATTTTTGAAAATTAAACGAAACAAATTTATGAAAATGAAGGTAAATTTTGCTAATGATTGCAAAAAATACAAAAACAATTTAGCGTCGATGGGAATCAGCCACAAGGAGCTCGGCCGGTAGTCACACAATTTACCCAAGGAAAGGATTTGTTTGGTCAAGCGGGCCTCACGTCTGGAATTGCATCGAGTGTTAAAATTCGAACTCGTTTCATAACATTTGCGGTCGAAAGTTTGAGTCTATATGATAAGTACGGACATTTTTAAACCGCGATACATAGCTATCTCTACCAAAGTAAGAAGCGCTAATTTTATTCTATCTTTACTTATTTATTTATTGTGATCAAAACGATTCATAGTTCAGTGGACAAGATGAAGATTTTATAATCAATTTTAAGACTTATATTCTAAATCGATCAAATCTATCATGCCCTAAGCAAGTATGCAAAACATGAACACTCGAGACCTCGAACCATATTCATTTCCACAGACAATTAGTGTTTGGAACGTTTCATTGCAAAAAGTAAATGTGCTGTTATATATATTCAATATTCAAGTGAATATAATCTGACCTAATGATGCCCAAAATTTGCTAATTTCGATTGTAAGGCGTAAATTGTAAGAACAATCGAAATAGTTTCTCGATGCATGCTGATAAATTTAAGACTCAATTTAAAATTTTTGAATCAACACTGTACAACTAGAATCGGTATTTTTGAAAAAACTATTCGAATTGCAAAACCCTCTGAAAAAATTCGATCGAATGTTTTTTCGTACTTGAAACTGAGTCGCGGGTTAAGCGTCAAGTAAGGGTCGGCGGGACTACATAATTGTATAAATGTATCCTGTGACAAGAGGCGGCGTCGCTCCGAACTAAATGTTTTGCCCAAGAGTTATGCTCGAGCGCCGTTGGTGGCGCTCTCTGCGCGGCCATGGCCCATGCTTAATGCTTATTGCTATACCAGTTAGCTATCAGTGGCGTGCGCGACGTACGAATACACCTACTCTTTTCTCTCTGTCTCTCTCATTCTCTCTCTTTCTCTCTCTCTCTCTCTGTCGCGCGCGCGCGCTCTGTGAGTCTGCAGATAGTCTGCACGCACAGCCGCAGTTGGCAGTTAGCTCTCGAGCAGTGGCGAGTCCTCGTGAGTAACGATCTTCTCACAAGTATAGTGTGTCGAGTGCACCTGCGGAGCCAATTCTAGGCGTAAACAAGTCTGCTGCTCGGGGTCAAGATCATCGACAGCATCCGTGCACACGTCGGGCCGAGGAGCGACGTAGCGAGATTGTCGACTGCAACGGCGACTATAACGAGCGAGGTGTGCCTGCAGTTGTCGAGATCCGCTGCTACTTGTACACACATTTGCAACATATAGGGAAGCACGCTCGATTCGAGCCGCAGCAGCAGCGCAGCAGTGACAAAGCGAGGAAAAAACACAACATATATATAGACAACTATCGTGCACGCTCATATCGAGTCGCAATACTCTAAAAAGTCGCCACTTCGAGTGCAGCCTTGTCTATTCGTACAGGTATACATTTCCATTGAGTTTTACATTCTTAAAAAGTGCGCGATAATGCGCTGGGCCCTAAGAGTTGAAAAGTGCAATCGGCAATTGTGACCCGTGCTCTGTGAATTTTTTGTTGTTGTGATTACTTGTGTGCCGACTGCCTTGTGTTGGTAATAACGACGTCGTCAGCATTGGCAGCTGTAGGCAGTGCATGGATCGAAAATCTTAACGAAAAACTCCAGTGACTCTAAGTCTGCCTTCTAGTACGTCGCTTTTACTCATAGCCTCACGCGTCTTTTGCGATTATGTGCTGCGACGGCTTGACAGACTGCTTCCTATCCTAGTACGCTGGCATTGGCTGCTCGTCTGCGAGTGTCTTCGTTATCGTGCTTCGCGCGTGCTCCAATGCCTGCTTCTTCGGCTTCTTGTGTCAACAAGAGCAGTAGTAACAGTAGCAGTGGTAGCACGTTTGCTTTGCCGTTTCCATTTAAAGCTTTCTCTCTCTCTCTCTCTCTCTCTCTCTCTCTCTCTCTCTCTCTCTTTCTTTCAGAACAACGATCCCAATTCCCGAGCACCATTGGCCAAGAGCAGCAAAACTTTCAGCAAATACTCTTTGGCAAATCGCGACTCTCATGTACGAGTACGTACCCACCGCGATCAAACGAGCCCCAAGGCCGAAGCTCCTCCGTTCCTCGAGTCTCGATCGCCGTCATTCATCCATATACAGACGATATTTCGTACTTTCTGCCTTTTTATTCTCGGCTCGGGCCGATGTTTGTCTTCGTAGTCGTTGCCGTCATCGTTGCGTATAGTGTTCGGATGCATTTATACAAGCTACCGGTATGTCTGAGTGAAGGCATCAGGCAAACAAAAAGATATAAAGGCGTCGCATTTGGACAACTCGCAATGATCCATGCGTGTCCCTATTTATGCTGCTTACCAACACGTTCGCGATCGTGTCTGTTGCTCGGCACTCGGCATACAATTATTGACATACACATTTATGCACGCACATATACTATGCTCAATACTGCAGAGTAGTGAGTATTCCTTACCGACTGTAACTACTACTGACGACGATTTCTCACACTTGCGTGCATGCTCTCGTATGTATACATTCGCACGTCAACATGCAGACGCCGAAACCCCTCTCCTCGTGTATGCGAGTTTGAACATGTATATACCTATATATACAAGTCCACCGTTGTTCAACGCATGATCTCGCTTACTCTTATGCATAGCTCCTATTCCTATTACCTCTACATGTATCCAATACTTATATACGTACACGCGACACGCGTTCATGTATTTGCAGATTCGACTCATATGAGAAATGAGAATATGAAAGAAAGAGAAAGAAACAGAGCCGTCACTGGCTTCGCCGTCGTTGTCGTTGCCGCCGCCACCGCACCAATGTCCAGAAGTCGCGTAAAATATACATGCCATATAGCAGTACAGCAACATTTAGACAGTACATTTTAGTATACAATGTAAGATTCACCGTTTAGGCTGACTATACAATTTTAGGTACTGTCCTATTCTATTATTGTATAAATGGACTGATATCGCGTTTTGTGCAGTGCTCGCTTGCAATGCTCTTGTCCGCCTCGCAATCGTGTACCGTCTACGTGCATCCTGCTACGACTGCCGACTGTCGAGCCTCGAGGCAATGAGTCCTGCGATTTTCTCGATCATCGCGGTTTCGTAAACAGCAATCGCATCGCTACTTGCATCTATAAATAAAGCATATGTTTGCGCATCTCCTATACCTATACACACTTCTACAGTACTTACTCGGTTACATGCTTACTTTTCGTACATATATACCTGTAGCCAGTGCATAATGCACATATATTTCTTGCTTGCTGCTTTATATATAGATACATACAGATCACTAGTAGTGAATGTCGCGACGCGACCCCCCGGCGACTTACACGCTTTCGTCGAATTTCAACCTTTTCATCGAGTCGTTACTTCCATGCCCTACTGCAGCAGAAGCGTATTAAAAATTCCTCGACGACCCTGATATTCCTAATCTACAGCGTTCCCATTATTGCAGTATGCGCTCGTTTTCAAGCCGCACAGCTGCTCGTTGGAAATATTTATGTCTAATTTGCACCCAATATAGAGGTCTCCCCTCCCCTATCTCAATTGTCATCATTATTTTCTCAATGAGCCTGTACTTATATGATTAGAGTTGAAAACTTGTATCTGATGCAGTTTTATTTCTATTTGGCGCAATATTTTTCATTCACGTTCATATTCTACCTTTAATTCAAGAGCATCCTTCCAGTTAAATACAATACGCATTAGTGAGCACGTGTTACATATTCGAAATTCGTATACGTGCAGGCGTATAATTTATTTATTTTATGTGTACGTATCGTATTTGTTATAATAAATGCGTATAAATTAAAACATTTTCGTATAACATGTGTGCAATTCGCGCGCGCAGTCACAACATGAACATGTGCGCATGTCCTCGCGGCGTGCGGAGTTCTCTCTCTTTTTCTTTCTTCCTTTTCGTCTCTTTATAGTTAATTTTTGCTCCTCCATTTAATCTACACTATCTATATATTTGAAATAAGAAAATAATGAAACTATGAAGAATCAGGCTACTTATAAGTAAAATATGGCTACCAACAATCAACGACATTTCGGTTTCAACAAAAAAAACCTGCATCGTATTTTCTCCTTGCTTTGTGTCAAGCTTTTCTTCCTCTTTTCCTTCTCTCTCTCTCTCTCTCTTTCTCACTCCATCTTTTTTACTTGCTCCCTCCTTACTTGCCTGCCTCCCTCTTAAAATATGTTACTCTTTAATATCCACAACTGCCTCCTCGACTTCGACATCAACTAACACGCGCTGCTCGCCTGCCTGATGTCTCATATGTCTATAAATATATACAAGCACACTTACACACATCTACACACTTGAACACAGTCACGCACAAGCACACGCACACCAATGTGTTAAGAGACAAACGAGCAATATTATGAGCGCGTATAAAACTTGAATTACTTACACAGACGCGCATACATATGCACGACCAATGAAGATTTCGACGTCGCACGACTTTTATTTTCTACTTGATATTTCATAGAACATTAATAATTTTACCTTAACCAAATAGTGGACGCACCTCTGTAATAATCATCCAGAGAGGAAGAAAAATCGAGTGAGAAAGAGAGAGAGAGAGAGAGAGAGAGAGAGAGAATGCAATTTATGCGTACTTACTACGCATTCTATATTTAGCTTGCTGTAATACTAAAATAAGTACGCGTATTATACATAGAATGTACTTGTGCATTGTACATGCACTGAAAAGGTTTACGTTTATACACCACACAAATAATTACACTTACACACACACACACACACACACACACACACACACACACACACACACACACACACACACACCTGCTGTCGATAATTGTGTTGGTTGTCATCATTCCTGCACATTACAGTATTATATTTTATACATGATGAATATAGATCGTACTTTTTAGGTCCTTGAAATTAAAGAAGAATGAGTCAAATTATTGTGCTAGCGTTACGTTTTATTGATACTTCATCTTTTCTTTGTGATTCTTTTATCCAATATCTTAATGACTTAGATTATTCTATCAAATATCTTAATGATTTAGATAGAGATGTAATGATTTGTATCGTTAACTTATCTCAAACACTCATGAAATGGTCATTAAAATTTAATTTTGAAAAAATGGAGATAGATATGTCTCAAATTATCAAATTAAATTGCACTTAAATAATTATATGGTTATATGCATGCATGTGACTTAAAATTATAATTCCATTAAAATTGACTTTATATAATTACAATTTTCAGATGTACTGGCTTTTTGTAACTAAAATATTCATTTCAACTGAGACAGTGTGTAATGTTAGACTAGTCACTGCTTCATAAGTGTAAAAAGGTATTAATACTATTTAGTTTTATTGAATCTATGAAAATTCAAGTACATAATTAATAATCGTTTTAGATTCATATCCGTGCAATGCCGAGATGTTTCAATGAGAATAAATCGTTGAGGTTGGTGAACAAAAAACAGCAACATAGTACTGAAGATATTCTTCTCTCTCACTCCAGGCAATTTTCTATTGGTGATAGAGAACAACTGGAAGACAAACAAGTAGCATCTTCAGTAGAAAGATCTCACAGAAGAGTTCGCTGTGATTTGAGTCCAGTCCCAACTAACACTAGTTCTAGTTTAATTAAATACATTGGAATCAAGGTCAGAACTAACATCAATTGATATTTTCTTTTTTTTAATCGTTATTTGAATATTGTTGAACAAATTTAACTTAGATATCTGATTTATCAAACTGTAGGATAAAGTAAAGCGCCAGGATAATTCAGCCAAACAATCTTCTGGAAATAGCAGTCTCAAAGAAGTGAAAAAAAAAGCAACTATAGGAAACACAGTGAAGAGTATACTTCCATCTGGCCACAGCAGGCAGGACAGGTATAATGATGTCCGTATCAAAATCATGCTTCTTTACATTATTATTATTTTATATTTTATTTATTCATCTCATATTTTGTATATTTGTTTAATTGTTATTTTATTCATTTATATTTTATTTGTCATTAATATTCCATGCCCTAGAATTATAATGAAGCTTTCAATTAATTTTTTTGTTAATATCACTGTATAATTAAATCAATCGGTTGAAGAATAATATTGTAAGATTGCTTGCACAATGAAAAATAAGCGATTAATAAGTTTATACATTTTCATAAGTAGGTATGAAACAAGCAGACAACAACGACCATCTTCTGGAAGTGTTGGTGGAGTTAATCTATCTGGATTATGTCCAAAGTTGGTCACAAATTCAGGCAGTAGTCACCAAATAGCCTCACCAGAAACCGCACCTGCAACAACATCTTGCAACGTTATTATATCTCAAAAAAACATCGGTCACCGCCGATCGCGTAATTCATCAGTCAGTAGTAGTGATTCAAATATTCCGACTAGTCGAAAAGTTGGTTTTTATCAATATTCTTTCAACTTTAAAGTACCCGTTTTTGATGAAAAAACTTTGCTATCCTTCAGCCTCATCGATCGGAACACAATTCACAGTCTCCACCCTCTACACCAGCGGTAGTCAAAAACGGTATTTTGTCAGATCCACAACAGCAGAAAATCTCACAAGAATCAATTGAAAAAAGCGTATCTAGCTTTGACAATGAAAGTAGCAATTTTAGATATGCTGAAGAAACGATCGCTGCTGTGGTACATTCAACACAAGTATCTGGTAAATATCACCAACCAAAATCCTAATTTTCTTCCTTTAGTGTACAAGACTTACAGATAGACTATTTAACTTGTTTTCATTACAGACTCTAGAATACCCATTGCAGCGACTTGTAAAGGGTGTGCGAGAAAAATAAGTGAAAGCGAAAGAGTTATTGACATTATGAATCCTCTTGGAATCACTGGTATGAGAAGAGATAGCGAAGATAGTCATAGTAGTCGTACATCGTCACTCGATCACAGAGACGGTAAAATGACGGCAAAAGATTTAGTTAAAACTTGTGATACTCCTGTTCTAGATAACGAATCAGCTTCGAAAATTTTGACCGCTGATTCAGACAAATATGAACGCAAAGTGTCCGATTATTCTATAGCTAGTTTAGATCCGAAAGATAATAATGATATAAAATCAGTTGAAGCAAATGATAAAATTACAAAGCCAAACAATGTGACATTAGTGGCATCGAATCTC